GCGGTGTATCTGCACATCTCTTCGCCTTTGTCTCTGCTCTTCTAGCTCTCTGATTGGCTGCTGTTTGAATAATTAGCACAGTAAATCTCTAACCTTCTCACTCTGCAGGACTCGTGAACGTTTTTGAGTCATAAATTTTAAACAGTTTGATAATATGGGAGGGTCTCCGATCACTTCAGAGCAGATCGGAGGGCTAAAGATTCACTTGTTTCTTCTCACACTACCAGATCGTACTCGCCGTCAGCCTGTTTCCGATCGAGCTCCTGACCTGGAAAATTGCTTTATGTCGTGAAAGTTTGTCGCAAGGGGCAAATCAGGGCTTAAAACTGGGCAAAAAATTGTGTAGTGTGGGCCCAGCTTTAGTTCAGTTTGTTTTTCCATGTTTTGCCATCTGTGGTAAGATCCCAGTTGAATAAGTTTGCCTTTATTGATCAACTAGTGCATTTTCTTGGATGCCCAAACACTTGTTTAAGTTTGAATCTTAGCTAAATGCCTTTTTTTAGACATACATTTCACAAGAGCCTACTAGTAGTGTTACTATTAGAAGTAATAGTGGGAGTTGTAGGAAATATTAATGCTGCTAGTAGCAGTATTACTACTAGTACTAGTAGCGAAAATGCGGTATAATTAGCTAATACTGAGCTTTTTCACTAAGAAATCTTAAAACACTACTATTGGCTCTTAATATCTGAAGCCTAAGAAGACCTCCCACTGCGTGTCTTTTAATATTATTGTATTCCAAACTTTCTGCTTCTAAAATTCTATCATAAAATTATTGAGGTCCTGTTTGTTTTAACACATTACACATACGTGAAATATCTTAAGCACTCAGCAAATATGGCAAGTGTCAGGTTATCCTTAAAATGTGCCTTGAGATGTTTTAAGATCTTTGACTGAAGTATAGCATCACTGTGTGGACTGCAATGACCATGAAGGAATAAAGAAGGAAACACTCCATGATGTTCTTAAAAAGACAAAACGTGATCTTTGTGAAGGCCAAATCAACAGCCACACTGATTTAAACTGACCTTCAGACACAAGAGTACGACAGCTCCAATAGCAAAGACAGGATCCGGTCTCAGTCGAGGGTTATAGGTGTACCAGCATAACAGTGGCACCAAACATGCCTCAGAAAGCACAGAGGAAAATACTGCATTTTACTGCTGTCATGATTGCTTGATTAAACTTGTTTTAATCCTTCCATGTTTTTTAGTATTTGATGATAAAGATTCTAATACCGTATTGACGGATCTACTTAGAATTAAGCTGTTGTTAGAGTAAATGAGTGCGATGTCCTGTAACAGTTAAATTGTTCAAATTTAGCTGATTTTAAATGAAGTGCATTAGCTGGCTACACTGCTAGCTACCTTGGACTGCGTAGAGTTGCAGTGGAGAAGAGTGGGTTTCGTTCCAGGTCAGAAAACGCTTCTGTACAGCTGTTAGTAATGTATGTTTCATAGTATGTCTCGTTCAGCAACAGCCTCTGTAGCACAGTGACAGCGGGAATCTGAAACGAATGCATCTGAGGAGGTCACGTTTCAAGTTTTATGTCTTGCTGGAGTCTTTCGATTGGCTGATTGAGCTGTAACGTTAGTTAAATGTCCTCTAAAGGCAGATATACACTGTACGCCTGTGATTTATGTGCTCACACTGTACAAAAAACGCTCGGTGTGGCTGAAACGCAGCCCCACAGTCAGCTCTGTCTACAGGCAATTATCAGAGCTGTTTCATTCTAAATAACAGGCTGTGCCTCCAAGTGTCGAGCAGAAATATTGAGAAACTGTGCTATAGCAGCTTTGCTGACTCGTGCCACACTGTGCACTGAAGCTAAAAGCAGGCAGTGATGTACATGGGTGGGACAATACGGCCTCTTTACAGCCTGTTTTACAATGACAGATTCACTATATTAACGTTTATGTCTTGCTGTTCCATTCAGTCAAACAGCGTGAAGTCAGTAAATCACTGTTGTCTGAACAAAATCTCCAAAATTATAACTCTACAGGAGAAGGATAAAGGTTCTTTACTTTTAATGTAAGTCAGTGGAACCAGACTTTTTTCCAAGTCATTTTGGGGTTGTTTCTTTTGGTCCATTCATCATGAAATTGACACACTATGTTAAGACCAACAAGCATTTTCAAATTATGTAAAAAAATGAAAAATGAGAAATGAGGTTTTGTTCTGATAGTAGCGCTATAATTACTTTTTTACCACAAATGTTGACATTTCTGCCTCTGTTTTGTTAGCCTACGTGTCTCCACCCGTATTGGGAAAGTGGTTGTGTTTGTATTTAAAACCAGCAACTTTGTGTCCAACCGTCACAGCAACAGCAACACTTCCCCGTGTGAACAGACCCTCGTTCACTGCCAGTTTTGGTCATTTGTTCATTAACATGGCAGCCTACGCTCAGCTTTCGTCACACGGTATCAGATGGTATTGGATGTTGGTATCGGTGCATTTTTTACGAGAACAAATAAATGAGCGCAGTATCAGACCGATACCTGATACCACCATCAGTATCGATGCATCCCTGGATATAATACGATTCACGAGTTGTTTTTGTTTTTTTGAGTTTGTGATGATGTCACTCTCCAGATCTATTAAAGATGCATGTATCAGCTCTACTGAGACGCTTTCAATCAGGTCCTGCTCACAGGAATAAACGTATCATACACACTTACCCATCTCTCTTTCTCCCTCTTTCTCTCTCTTATTCTTTTCTTTCTCTCTCCACTTTTCTCTGTCTCTTACTTTCTCTCTCTTTCTCTTTCTGTTTTGCCCTTTTCCTCTCTTTTCTCTGTCTTACATTCTCTCTGTCTTTTCTGACTCTGTCTGTCCCTCTTTCTCACTTTCGTTTCTTACTTTTTGGTTTCTCTCTCCCTCCTTCTGTCTTTGGTATTTTTCGATCTTACCTCTTTCGCTGTCTCTTTCTTCTCTATCTCTTTCTTTCCCTTTTCTCTCTGTTCTGCGTCTTACATTGTGTCTCCCTCATTCTGTCTTTCTTTCTCTCCTTCTGTTTTACTCTTCCTATCCATTCTCTCTTTCTCACTTCGTCTTACTCGTCCTACTCGTCTTACTTTCTTTGTCTCTCTGTCTTTCACCTCTATATCTCTCCCTTTCCTTCTCTTCATCTTTCTCTTTTCTGTCTTTTACGTTATGTCTTCTTCTGTCTCTTTCTCTTCCTCCTTCTCTCTGTCTCTTACTGTCTTTCTCTTTCTCTGTTCCTCTTTCTCTCTTTCTTCTGTCTCTTTCTCTCTGTGTCTCTGCCTTTTTCTTTCTGCCTCTTTCCTTGTCTTCTTTCTCTGTTCCTTACATATCTTCATCAGCCTGAACATAAAAGTCACTCACTTCCTATGAGCCCCCTCCTCACACACACACACACTCACACTCACACACACACACAGACACACACACACTCTGACACACACACACTCACACACACACTCTGACACACACACACTCACACACACACACACACACACTCTGACACACACACACTCACACACACACACACACACACACACAGACACACACACACTCTGACACACACACACTCTGACACACACACACACACACACACACACAGACACACACACACTCACACACACACACACAGACACACACACACTCACACACACACACACACACACACACACAAACACACACACACTCTGACACACACACACACACGTGTGTACACACAGAGCTCTTCATGCAGTTTTATGACCCAGAAAAGACACGTGGAATAAATCAGGCTCCTCACTGCTAGAATGACTCACTGTCTTTCCCCACTCTGTCTCTATTTTTCTTCTCTCTTTATCTCTTTGTCCATTTTTATTCCACCCTCCCTTCCTCCTTCAGGAATTCTTTATCACCCCCTCTTGATCCGTCTCTTGTAACAGATTTTTTTGTCCCTTATCATTTGTTCACTTTTGAACCTTCCTGTCCATCTTTCTCTTCATTATCATTCTGCTGTTCTTTCTTTCCCTTGTTTCTTCATCAGCCTTTGACTCCTCTGGCTTCCACATTCTCTCTTTTCTCTTCTGTTTTCTCCTGTTGTCCAGATTCTTGTTTCATACTCTCTTCTGTTTTCTCTCTTTTTCTTAAAGTACTAACTAATTCATAATTCTCTCTCTCTCTCTCTCTCTCTCTCTCTCCCCATCTGCGTCTACTAGAATGAAGATGATCTTTTACTAGCCTCTCCTCTAATTAAGATTAGCCAGGCTTTATTAAAGGAATAGTTAAATGGTTAAAAATGAATTTTATACAATTTTGCCCTTACCTAAAAAGATTTTGAGTGACATAAACGTCCATTTCTTATTAGCTACATTATCCTCGAAGCTTCAGCACAAAATTATAAAAGTAAACTTCACACATCAAACATGTCTTGGCTCATCATTTACATTTGGATTAAGGGGAAAAATTGGACACCTTTTTTTTAGCGAACGATTCCTTTAAAATGTGTTTTGCAAATGTTAGGTTTAGGGTTAGCTGTGCTGTTGAGTTGTAGATGTTAGCAGATGACTGAATGAATATTAAGCCTTAGTGCCTAATAAGCCTGAGATTTTAAGGGGTTAATGAATCTGTGAAATTCAATTTATGGATTTATAGATATGGAAGATATGGACTTTGTTAACTTTGCTAAGCTTAGTTGTCACTGTAAGCTGTGAATTATGTGACTTACGTCTGCAATATAGTAATCAAAAGACACTTGATGAAAAAAGTTACTTTTCTGTGTTCAGAGTGAATCTCAAGAAATATCTTTCAGATTGCTTTCACAGATAAGGTTGCCATAGGAACAAGAAGATGACCAAAAACATGTTCTACTTGAATCTGTGTAACTACATAAAAAGTAGAAAGTAGAAAATCGGAGCCCTTACTCATTCTCTGTATAACTGACTCAGCTGTTTTTGCAGACTGTTTAACATCTGCTGTCTTTCTGCAGATTGTTCAGTGTTGTCCTGGAAGTTTTGACCAAAGACGGCGGTCAGGAGGCGGAAGGCACCCCCCCAGCAGCCATGCACGGCCATGGGGGGAAACCTGGAGGTTTTGACGTCAAAGCCCTGCGAGCTTTCAGAGTGTTGCGACCCCTTCGGCTGGTTTCAGGAGTACCCAGTGAGTGATCTTTGCCCTCTGAGTGATCTTGCCTTTCACTGTAGACCTCCACAAAACTGCACCTACGTGGAGTCCAGCTGCTCCTACATTAATTGAATCCCGAACTATATTTACTGAAAAGGGACAGCTAAAAAATCCTTGATGTCCCAACAGTATGAACTAATTGAGCTAAAAATAGGAATGTGCTGATATGGAATTTCTGAGCTGATAATGATAACCGATACCAATAATATTGATAACCATTACTAATATTAATACTTTTATGCATTTTGGTACATCAGTGCGAATGTAAGCAAAAACGGGCCCCAAATTATCCAATTATCTGGTACAATTTCACTATTGGACCGAAAATAATACAATTTTCCCACTGAACATGTACAGTGGAAAAAAATATATATCTTGGCAACTGAAATCATCTTAAATCAAGTCATACATACATACATACATCATCTAAACCGCTTATCCTTCTGGGTCGCGGTGGGGTGCTGGAGCCTATCCCAGCTGTCATTGGGCGGAAGGCAGGATACACCCTGGACAGGTCGCCAGTCCATCGCAGGGCAGACAGACAGACATACACATTCACACCATCACTCACACCTAGGGGCAATTTACCATGTCCAATTGGCCTGACTGCATGTCTTTGGACTGTGGGAGGAAACCGGAGTACCCTGAGGAAACCCACGCAGACACGGGGAGAACAGGCAAGCTCCACACAGAAATGACCCTGGTCGCCCGGCCGGGAATCAAACCCAGGCCATTCTTGCTGTGAGGCGACAGCACTACCCACTGCGCCACCGTGCCGCCCTAAATCAAGTCAATAAACCAAATATTCATTGTCATGAGACTACTGTAAGAATATCATAAGTTTATTTAACCTGTTTTTATTGTTTATATACAGTTAGATAGATTGATAGATCACTTTATTCATCCCATAGGGAAAGTCATGTATTACAGCAGCACAATGTACAGAAAAGAGCAGAACAAGAGCAAAGTATTACCGTATATTATTATACAGATAATTAATAGAAGTAAAGACGTATAATAAGAATATAAAAGAACAACCATAAAAAGTATAATGTGCAGTAAATAAATAAGTAGTCACATAAATATCATGCAGGTGACAATGCAGTGGTGTATTGTCACATCCAGTGAATCATCGAAAATGTATGTAATATATATATATATGGACTGAATTTAAGATGATTTCACTTACCAAGATATCATTATTACAGTATGAACATTTGCATATAACTAACTACTTCGTAACATTCTTTTATTTTTAGCAACATTAGCATTTTCAGATGAAACATTATTTTTATCATTCTCATAACACTGAGATGCATTTACTCAGCCATATCCCCCCCATACACACCCATACTCTCCTGAGTCTGGGGCCCCGGGGGTCCTGGAGCACAGGAGCCCCTTGGTGGGGTGGATGTGGGGTGAACGCAGCCACAGTATGCGGCCATATGGCAGAGGGAGCTCAGTGGCCCCCGCTGCCGCCCCCAGGAGTGTTCGTTCAGAACAAGCTGTTAAACTCAATGCCCCAAAGACATCTGCTCTGTGTGTGTGTGAGTTTGCTTTATAGTTTTCCCTTAACTTAATGCTGTTCATAAAGCATGCACAGGCAGACAGATACCCAGTAAACGAAAACAAATACATATAGATGAATAATGAAGTATCACTCATTTCGCAGTTCCCTTATATTTATTTTATGCTGTGAAATCACCATATATCATTATAATAAATGCAAATCACTGTAAAATGCAATAAGAAATGCAGTAGTTAATCTTGTGAGGTAGTTTGAAGAACTGAGTTTGGCTGCAGATTTAACCTTGATGTCCCCAGCCGTCACATGGATTGTTAAATATTATCACCAGCACATTTGATTTAACATAATGTAATACTGGTTGGTCAAATACTGGTCTACCATGATCAGAGGTCTAGAAGTGGTTAAATGAACACTCGTACATTCGTAAAATCACTACTAATACTATTGTATTAATATTGTTTGTATGTATTGTAAAATAAGTGTTCTTCTGAGCAAAAACAATTCTTACTGCCAGATGAATAACTTTTTGTTCTCAGGTGCCTAAAACTTTTGCACAGCACTTTATCTGCAAAAATCATTGCAGTGGACCATTTCTGGTTGTTGAAAAGTGCAGATCCTGTCCATGGAAACTGTTGTACTAGTTACTAATGAGATGCTTCCTTTCCTTGCATATTATCTGGTACTGTAAGCACATTTGGTTATAAAAACACTAGCAGCAAAATAGTGTCTCACCCACGATTTGCTCTTAGGATTTTGAATGTCTGCCAGCGGCTTGGTGCTGCCAGGCTGCGGAAGGTGAGCGGTTTGCCGTAGCGGTGAGGCTGCTCTAAAAACAATAAGCATGCTATGGGAGAGACCCTGTCATTTGCCTTCAAGTGGAATTCATTCTCAGCTGGAAACATTCTTCCTGCCTAATCCGCTAATAAAAGCTAGCTGTGTAGCTGTGGGTGTTCGTGCACACAAATGCTATTAAAAACTGTGTGTGTTTGTGGGTTTGCACTGAAACACGCACTTTGTTTGTGTCTGTAGGATTTTACAACACATTGATGAACTGTATAACTGTATGTGTTTGTTCAGGTGTCGACACTCAGACACTTCACACTAACTGTAACGTGTGTCTGCAGGTTTACAGGTGGTGTTGAACTCCATCATTAAAGCCATGGTTCCCTTGCTCCACATCGCTCTGCTGGTCCTCTTTGTCATCATCATCTATGCCATCATCGGCCTTGAGCTCTTTATCGGCAAAATGCACGCTACCTGCTTCGTCACTGGGTCAGGTGGGTCATTTGAGAACTTGCACCTTAAACACAGCTGTGTTCGCAAGGAAATACATCTGCTTATAAGGGAATTCCAACAGTTTTTTTCAAAATATCTGCAGAATTCAACTGATGAGGTGTAAACAAGTCATTCAGAGTGGTTTGATATGAAATGGTTTATTGTAGAGAAGCTTACAGACTCTTATAGATTTCTTTACAGTGGTGTTGATAGGAGCCAGGGGTTGTCTACCGTGTCTACAGTGCAAATATAGCCATTTCATGGCCCTGTGATTGGCCCTGTGATTGTACCTAGAGCTAAAGGGGAAGCAACATGGAGTATGTGATGAGGGGATGGGAGGGAGAGACACGGACAACGGGAGTACCACGTTTAGATAATGCTTTACTTTTCAAAAATAGAAGTGTAAAATAATATACATTCACCTTTAAAAGTCTTTAGTGAAATAGGAAAAGGAGATAAATAAAAAGAAAACATCCAGCTAGACAACGTCAATAGAGCGATCGAGTAACCGGCTAACACGGTTAATTTATAAGGCTCAGTGTGATCAAAAAGTCAAATCTGCCATCAGTACTGAGGACGCTGGGAGTAGGGATATTGTATACAAAGCCAGCAGCAATGGTGGACTATGGATGGTGCCAAAGCAATGAAAAGAATAAAACCTCTAACCTGCCTAACTGGAGCTAAACTGCACAAAACTACAGCGGGTGGCACTCGCCCCTTACCTAGTGTGTCTATACAAAATAACACTACCGTTTTACATGTAAAGGCGCACCCAAACTACCTGTCCACTCATCGCGCTAGAAAGAGAGACACGGAGTGAGAGAACGAGCAAGAGAGAGAGACAAAGTGAGGCCAAGGCAGAACTTAAACTACATGGCTACAATTTTAACAACAGCGCAACAAGTCACCAAACTGCCAGCAAACTGAAGGCCTAACAGACACACATAGTGCTCTCCCCTCTTCACATGTTCCTGGGACAGCCTTTTATCATCAAACACCTGCCCTTATTGAGTCAGCAGCGATTCTGATTGGAGGATGAGGGTCGAATGCCACTGATGCAGCCATTGGTTGGGTTGCACCTATTAGGAAGTGAAGTAGATAGAAATGGAAAGATGAAAAAAGTCAGGGGAAGAAGAAAAAAACAAAAAAACTATCCTATCCAAAAAAAAAAAAACTGAGAACCTACATGTGTCTTTAGAGGTGAAGGAATAAGTCTTCTTAACTTTCAGTTTAAACGGACCTAAAAGGAGGACTCTGTTTGTCTGGTGTGAGATATACTGCGGTTCACCCCTCAAGCTACTATAATTGAACAGAGAAATCCAGTCGTCGCTAGCTGGTGTCTGAATACTGTGATGTCATTTGTAGCGGGGTAGCCGAGCGCTCGGCACCAGCTAAAAATAATCTGTTTTCTTTCTTAAATTATGACTATTACAAAAATAGCCGTGCTTTTCCAGCTGGTAAAAACAGCTCAACAGACACTTTCTCCCACTCTCCCATGACAGATCTGTGAAACGGTGAGTGTTCGTCATGTTCCGACCATAAAGGATGGTTTAAAACAGCAATTAACCACCCAGGAGCAAAAATCAGCCTTCAAACTTGAAAGAAATAATGATTTGACACTTACCGAACGATAAGAATTTTGTTTATCGTTTATTTTTGGCCATATCGCCCAGCTCTAACTGTAATACACTTTCTCTCTCTGTGTATGTGGGTGTAGAAATGATAGCAGAGGATGAACCCGCACCGTGTGCGGTAAACGGTCATGGTCGCACATGTTCCATTAATGGTACCGAGTGCAGAGAGGGATGGCACGGCCCAAACGGCGGCATCACCAACTTCGACAACTTCATGTTTGCCATGCTGACAGTGTTCCAGTGCATCACTATGGAGGGCTGGACAGACGTGCTCTACTGGGTCAGTATCACTGCAGTCCGTGGGTTGTGCTTTGCTTTCAGCTTTCAGCTCTCTGTGTCTATTCACCATTTCACTGCTGGGTCAGTACTCTGAGCTCTGGGAACGCTTTAGTGCAGGAGTGTGAAAATTCAGTCCCAGAGGGCTGCAGCACTGCGTAGTTGAGTGTTTTCTCTGATCAGACATGTCTAATTCAGCTCAGCTAATTGTCAGGTGTTTTGCGAGTCAGCTCTGAAATGTGGTTGCCTACGCACTACAGCAGCACTGTTCACTATGCAGTGCTGCAACAAATCAGATTCATTAAGAAAAATTATGGAACATGTCCAAGGCAGACTCTCCTTTTTTGGCACATGTTGTTGCTTTATAGCGGAGGTGTTCAGCTGACCTATTCATTTTGCACCCACAGATGTGTTCTGTACTAGTAAAGCAATAGGAAAAAAACATTCAAATTTAGGTTGGAGTTTAGAGCCACTGTATTAAATCTGAGCTTCCAGTTTAAAGTGTCTGGACTGTCTAATGAAAGCTAGACAGTTTGGAAATTAAGGCATCACTTTAGTTCAATTAAACTGTAGATTTAAACAAGTTTAAGGGGCCAAATTCACAGAATGGGCATGCAGTTTAATATTTGGCTACACTTTAAAAAAAAGGTTCTTCAAGGGGCCTTTTGTGAAGAAAATGGTGCTGTTATAAACCATGAACACTCAAAGAACCCTTTGCATGATTAAAGGGTTTTCAGTAGATAGATTTGTTCAGTAGATTGTTCTATATAGAACCTTTTGAAAAAGGGTTCTATATAGCACCCAAAAGGGTTCTTCTATTGTTATGATGTCAAGCTTGTAACAATAGAGGAACCCTTTTGGGTGCTATATAGAACCCTTTTTAAAAGGTTGTATATAAAACCATCTACAGCACATTCTCCATCAATCTGAAGAACCTTTCACAGTGCAAAAAGCCATTTTTTCATGCAGAGGGTTCTTTGAGTGTTCATGGTTCTTTATCTTAAAATTTTCCTTACTAAAGAACCCTTGAAGAACCATCTTTTTAAGAGTGTGGTACAGTTAGTGCTCCTGATCTGCCAAGTATCGACTTTTGTTCATATAGATAATAATGATTAATTTACATTTTTTGTTGTTTTTTCAGTTAAAGAATGCATGTTTTATGTGATTCATGTATGTGCGTCACTTCCAGGTAATTATGTTGACGTGATTTATTTTATTCTTGCCGAAATTTGAACCAAATAAATTTATAACATCACTTTTTCAGTAAAATAAAGAGAATCAACGGTGCAAGTTTATCACTGAGTTAACGTTTAGTCAACAAAATCATCCTCCATGACGTTAAACAGTCTTTTTTCTGCGTCACGGTACTTTTGTTTCTAAACTGGCAGAATCCTCTCTTCTCCTAGATCTGCATAGAGGAGAGGGCGAGATGGCTAGCAGCCCACACACAGCTTCTCTCGCTCTATCTCCCTTCCCCACCCACCACTCACATTGTGCTTTAGGACATTGCTGAAGTATCTCAGAGCTCCAGAGCGCATTGGACCCTTCGTCCAGAAGGGCTGTGGTGTAGTGTGGTCTCTCCACATTATGCTCCATCTCTACAGAAAATAATTTACATTCTCATTGCTCACATTTACTTCTCTTATTTTCTGTCTAATTCTGCCTGCAGCTGTACTTTTCATTGATGTGTGGTGTATTTCTTCACCTCAGTATAGAGTCAGAGATTTGAAATCCCTTAAACCAACACATCGTTTATGTATTTCATTTGCACTTTCACTCTTAGAAGTCAAGCTGTTACTTTTGGTTTTGGTCTTCAGAAGTAATCACATAAATGCATATTTAACCTCATAGTTAGTATCCACTCCACAATTACACTCACATTCAGTTTACGTTCTGTATTGACACGTTCAAGTCTGCGCTTCTGCAGCCAGTTGCACCAGATGAACGTAGATCGTAGCCTAGTTTGAACGTGAACTGCTTCTACGTTCAAGTTTATGAGCCACTAGAATTTAACTGGTTGCACCAAGTAGCATAGATTCAACATAGCTTTAAGTTAGAACTTAAAATTTACACAGATCCTGTAATTGGTTAGTTCTGACATAAAAAACAGTTAAAATGGCTGGTCAGTTATATTGATCGAAAACATGCAAGAAAATGAAATACGTCTCGGTTTGCGTCGGCAGCCGCTCCTGCAGAACAGATTACACCCGTTTTCATTGATCGGAGATAGAAAAGATCACAGACCTCCTGCCACAGATTTGCAACACAACACAGACAGGAGCAGAGCCCTGAGCCCTGCTTTGTGTCTGGCACTGAGATAAATTTCTACAGGGTCTACGTTCAAGTTTACGTTCCAAAACCTGGGCGACTCTGTTCAAGTACACAAGTCAACTGTGTGCAGAGCAATAAGAGCAGCTCCATCAGTGCTCATGTTGTGTGTGACGCTGACCTTGTTGTCACAGAAAACATAACAGATTATTTTTAAAACATAACTAACACAGCTAACATTAACTGTGTCATTCAGCAGATTCAAGTAGTGATTGCATTAGCCGCAGCTTTGCTAACGTCACTGACTGTTCATTGATAAAGTGCCGTTAAAATTGTGCACGAGAGCCCAGTTTGAACATTTCTGAATGAAGCTAATATGACCGACACACCTTAAGCGTAATAAGTGTAGCATGTGTGGAGATCATGCGTGTTTCCTGTTTATGTTGGGCAGCGTTACTGATAGGCTGCAGAGTGAAACGTCATTCTGTGCGACAGTGTTTTGATCTATGATCACTTTACGCTTTACTAGTTAAGATGTACCGTAAGTGTCTGTGGTGCAACCGAAATTCTTTGTGTCGCTAGTTTTAAACTAAATACTCTCAATGTGAGGTTTAGGATGGACTTTACACTCCAACTTTCGATCGAGCTTACGTTCAGCTGGTGCAACTGGCTGCAGACAAATCGTGATTAAAACATGCCAAAAATATCAAGGAGGGTTTTTCTCTATCTGTGGAAACAAAACCACACACAGCAGTATTTTTTCATCAAATCAAAATATTTCCTGTACTTACCAACACAAATGTGATGAGGATTGAAAGTTTAGAATCTGCACTTTATTCAGCATTTCTGTGCCTGTTTCAATGAGCTATGAATCAGAAATAATTAGTATGAAATTACAGTATGCTGGCTGGTGATAACTGTGACTTCTAAGGTTAATCTCGTAGCGTTTAAAAGCCCTGCGGTTGAAATGCGGCTGTATTTTGAGGTGCTGAAACACTGCTTGTGCTGGTACATTCTCTGCATGACTTTTCCGTCTGGATGCTTTATCTTCAGCTGTTTCATTCCTCTTCTCTGTCTCCCCTTCCTTCTTTTTTTCTCTTTTTTCTCCCCCCTTGTTTCCTATTCTCACTCTCTCTCAGATGAATGATGCAATGGGGATGGAGCTGCCGTGGGTCTACTTTGTGAGCTTGGTGATCTTCGGGTCTTTCTTCGTTCTGAACCTTGTTCTGGGTGTTTTGAGCGGGTGAGGGATTCCTGTTCTCCACTCCCAGCTTCTCCCTCTCTCTCTATCTCTATCTCTCTTTTCTTCATCTTTTTAGCCCTTTCTCTCTCCGTATCTATTTACTTCCCTCTGTCTTTCCCTCTTTCTTTCCCTCACTTTTTCTTTCTCTTCATCTTTCTCTCACTCTTTCACTTTCTTCCTGTTTGCCTTTACCCCCCCTCTCCCTCTCACTCACTCTCTCTCTCTCTCTCTCTCTCTCCTTTCTCTCCCTTTCTTCTCCACTCTCTTATTTCCTTTCCTTCTTCATCTCCCCCCACCTCTCTCTCTCTCTCTCTCTCTCTCTCTCTCTCTCTCTCTCTCTCTCTCTGTCATTCTCTGTTTTTGTCTGTAAAGGTCTTTGAGTCTGATTTGGGCCCTGGGACAACCCCCCTCTATAATGTAACACTACTCTTTGGGCTCCTGCAGGTGAACGATGCGATTGGCTGGGAGACTCCATGGATCTACTTTGTTAGTCTGATTATTCTGGGCTCCTTTTTCGTCTTAAACCTTGTGCTGGGTGTGCTCAGTGGGTAAGAGGGTGTGTTTGGTAAGAGGGTGTGATGGGGTGTGTTTTAAATGGTTAAAGGGTGTGTTCAGTGCTGTGATGATTGCAGTGGTTTTGCAGGGTGTTAGTAAAAATTTACTGTTAAAGCTGCATTCTGTAAGATTTTGAATGAAGTTCTCATCTTTGATACGTTATGCTGGTGAACTTCGTGTAACCTTTGGAAGAGATTTATAGCTGGTGATAAAAGTGTGGTGGAATTTGATAGTAATTATTTCTCACTTAATTCACGAACAGAATCCCTGCCAAATTTTGTAAGTAGAAGAGCACATTTTACTATCATTTTTTGACATTGAATTAAACAGAAAAATCTCAGAGCAGACTCAAACCAGCTGAATGTAATTGAATGTAAATCGAATTCATTGCCTAACTCACTGTAAAGTTAATAATTACATTTGAATAGAAAAGCTAAACAAAAACAATAACTTAACTCCTTAGACTTAAATGTTTAAGGAAGTACTGTGACTTTGTTAATGTGTGAATTTTGTTTACTATCTTTGACAAAATTTACATCAAATAAAACGGTGCCATCTTGCAGAATGCAGCTTGGATTGCTGTGATAAGCTAAGCTACAGCTGGAGCTCTTTGGTGGCTCTGTGGTGTTGTTTGGAGTGTTCTCTGCCCTCTGTAGGATTTTTTTTTCTTCCTACCTGCGTAATCCGTTGGAGGCAAGCACACATTTAAGAAAGAGTGTCAGGACGGAGCTGAAGACAAATAGGATTTAGACAGATGAAGGTCAGAGAGAGGAAGTGAAATGGCTGCTTCACAGAGAGCTGAGCGGACCTGGACAAAGGAAACCGGAGAGATTCGGAGCGAACTCTAAACGCGGACACTAACACAAACCGAGACAGATAGAGAGGGGAGAGAGAGAGAGAGAGAGAGAGATGGAGAATGTGTCAGTAAACAGAGAGGCAGACAGGATGGAGCACTTTTTAAAACGTTGCACAACCAGTGCACGCACATCATCTTTCACACTGCACTTCCTGTTCTAGGATATTATTTTATGAGACTAAGTTCTAGAATTGCATCCCTAAAAAGTACTTTGGAGGCCACAGCACACCAACCCAGCAACAACACACACACACCATGACTTATGAACCATGGATGAGCATTCTGACTTATATTCATCCATGCTGGGGACCGGCTCCCACCCCATGCATGACACTCTGTCAACGCTGGGCAGCTCCTTCAGTGACAGGCTGCTTCACCCCAAGCAGGTATTTCCTTCCTGCTGCTGTTAGGCTGCACTGCTCCCAGTTGATTGCAGTATAATCAATACTTCATGTGCAGTGTTCTATGTAAAATACATGTAAAATATCCTTATAGTGAAAAGATTTTTTGCTCTTTTATTTATAATGTTTATATTGTTAATTTTGTGAAGGACACAGTTTATATATTTTTAGTTTATACAAGTAACAAACTGTTACCTTCTCAAGTAATTAACAAGGTCCATTAGTTTGTTTGTTTATTCTCTTCTTGATACTTCTTTTTCTTGAGTGCCTTGCTATCCCTTTGCTGCTGTGCACTGAGTTTCCCTGGATCTGGAAGAAAAAGTTCTTCGAGTCACCTTATGTTGTACTTACTCATAATACACAAACAGGGAAAGCTATGCAGTTGTTAGTGTAAATGAGTGCATTTCAACTTAATAGTCAAATAATTCAAATCAAGCATTTTAAATTTAGTGCATTAACTTGCTGTTACCTTGGATCGAATAGCGCTGCTGTGGAGAAGAGTGGGTTTTGTTGTAAATCAGAAAAGCACTTCTGTACAGCTGTAAGTAAAGTATGTTTCATAGTTTTACTCCTCATCTGTTTCTTTCAACAGTCTCGGTAGCAAAGTGACAGCAGGAATCAAGTCCAAGGCTAATGCATCCGAGGAGCTCACGTTTCGAGTTTCATGTCTTGTTGAAGTCTTTCTGGCTGGTTGGCTGGTTGAGCTGTAGTTCAGTGTCCTCTAAAGCCAGACTGCACTGTGCGATTTTAGAAATCTTGTTTTTTGTTGACTCACACTGTGCGTTTCACTAGACCATCGTGTGCACCTAAGATCTTCATGCTCACACTAGCCATGTTTACATGTAGCCCAATAATCCGTTAATAATCTGGTAAAAGCTCAATCAGTATAGAACACGTCCATGTAAACACCTCAATTGGAATAGACTAGTCCGATTGAGGTCATTTGGAATACAGCTTCTATCTGATTGATCAAGGTGGTAATCCTGTAAATAATCCGTTAAAGAGAAGAATAATATCTGTGTAAACGCCCGTGTCTGATCACATTCCCAATCGGAAGGTCTAAGTCCGTTCTGATCATGTTCGTCACGTCATAGTGAAAGTTTATACCGTTCAACATGGCGGAGCAGAAACTGGTCTGCAGAGGAGACGAAGTTTATGCTCTGATCTTTAAAAGACGGCGGTGGGACGGACGTCCAGCTTTTGTGTCTCAGAACACGACGTCTTCCTCTCGGCCTTCTTTAATAAGGACATGTGAAGCACGTTTTCCTGAGTCTGACATCATTTTAAAGCAATTAAAAACACAAGCACTGCTCACTGCTGCTCATCTCACTCTGACTGGACTCACGTGATGCTCGTTGTCATGGTAACGTCTACACTAAGTGGTTCTCTATGCATGCACGTTATTTTGGATCTGATTACTTGTAGTGAGCATGTGAACAGATTTTACCATCAGATTGTTGAGCAGAGTGAGAATAAACACCTCAGCCTACTTTTTAGAAAGACAGTTAAAAGATCAACCTATTAATACTTATATTTCACAATTCTGTTCGGTCATGTGGTTTGTGTTTGTGTAAGCTTTAAAATAGACACTTTTGCTCAAGACCAAAAAACTGGGCACCATTGTTTTAGAGTATCCCAATAATCGCACACATAGATGTGGCACCCTAACCAAATGTTTGGGTTTGTCGATGTTTTTGAGTTGGTGTGCTCTGGCCTTAAAATATAAGAAGATCCTCATTTGTTGGTCCTTCAGTTTTTCACATGGCCCCCAAAATTTCTTAGTACACTGATATTAGTGATGGGATCATGGCAGACATCACATAATGAGAGGAAACAACAGAGAGCAGGATGGGGAGTCGAAAGAATAGAGGAATTAGGTTAAAAACATTGCAGGTAAGACTGCAGAAACATTTATCATTGCCATTTACTCACATGAAGCCCAAGAGAAAGGAAGAGAAGGCAGAGAAGAGATGGATGTTGTCTGTGATAGACAACATCCTCTTCTCTTCTCTTCTCTTCTCTTCTCTTCTCTTCTCTTCTCTTCTCTTCTCTTCATCAATCCCCTTTGCTGATCCTCACACCCCCCTTCATTCCTCGGCTGAAATTAATCTCATTGCCTCGGCCTTCAGTTCTCCCAGCGTTTTCTCTCTGTGGAGACATTAATACTCTCCCACAAGACGCACACACACACAAACACTTCACATCCTATCGCATGCATAGTGTGTCCTGTAGAGAAGGGCAAAGTGAAGCAGTGAGGGACACACACACACACACACACACACACACTCTGACACACACATATACATATGTAACAGGGATCCCTGTTGCCCTCTTTTGTGTTCTTTCAGCTTCGTTGAAGAAGATTTTTTATTTTTTATTTTTTGAGTCATTCCTCAAGCTATGACTCAAGTAATCCCCTGACTCAGATTAAGTTTGGACTGCTTGTTGTGTGTGTGTGTGTGTGTGTTTGACGGATGCTAAAGCTGTGTTCGTTGCTTGACCTCTACTGTGGTAGTTGAGACTGTTCTTATTAAGAGTAGTCAAGCATGCCACCTACTGGTAGAAACTGGAAGCAAAATAATAGTTTGATTGCCTTTGAGTGGAGTGGAAAAGAAGGGACTTGTGCTTTTATATCTACAGTTGAACAGTGTGTTTATTATTGTATTTAGATTTCAGGTATTTTGAAGTTGGCCTGAGAGGACATTTGATTTGGCCCAGCAGAAAGTGACCCCAGCCACACACCCCCGCCCAATGACAGAACAAACATATTTTATACTATATATATCTTGCTCTTATTTTGAAACTGTATTGTAGTTTATTGTGTCATGTTATAAAAACCTGATTTGAAGCCTATCCGCCTTCTTTATGTCTAAATGGTTTTGTTTTTTTGGCCCCTTAGCCACTACAAACATTGCGCTTTGGCCCCCCAAGACAAAAAACCCTTGCAGTAAACATGAAGAGATAGTGTTAAATATCTGTGTGGTTATGTTTATGTGCATGCGTATGCTAATGTCTATGTATGCGTTTGTACGCGAGCACGCTAATAGCTGTGTGTACTTGTATGTGTGTCTTGCTGGATGCAGAGAGTTCTCTAAGGAGCGAGAAAAGGCGAAGGCCAGGGGAGACTTCCAAAAACTTCGAGAGAAGCAGCAGTTAGAGGAGGATCTGAAGGGCTACCTGGACTGGATCACGCAAGCGGAGGACATTGACCCTGATAATGAGGAGGAAGAGGACGAAAGCAAGCGCAATCGTGAGTCCCTCACACAGACTGAGCTTAACAATTTTATTTACTGTCTTTCTGGCTCAAATCCTTTAATAAATGTTAAATTGTTGTGCAGCCAAGTGATAGTAAGTGCAAGCCATGAAGGGTTTGTGTGGTGCTTTAATATGGTCATGTGGCTCATTCACACCAGTCTTAAGGGCATTTTCACACCTGTCCTAGATACTTGAGTCCGCACCCAGGACTGATTCTGGGCCCGTCTGGGGGACAGGCTCTTTGAAGCTCTTCGTTGCTGGTTTGCTTTCACCTATAAGAATCCCATGTAAACTGTGGATCGATTACACACTTATACATCACTTTTCCGCATGCAGGTTTGCAAAATCGTAGGCACTAGCTTTATCCATTTTCTGCTTTTTATTATTATCTTTGAATACAAACACTCAGTTGAGTTTTTATGAGTTGTGGCCATTTGTGTTTGAATGCCTTCTTTGCTCCGTATATCTATGAGGCATTTGGTTTCCTCCTCCGTCCACAGCAATCCTTTCCCCGACCATCACAAAACCTGAAAAGGGAAGTGATGCAAGTCGAAGGAGTCATGTTAAAAAATGAACCAATCACATAATTCTACACGTGGCACCGGGAATGGATAGGTTCCACACATACAGCGGACCAGTTCGCTGCTTGCTTCCAGAAGCAAGCCCCAGACCACTGATTTCAGGTGGACCAGAGATTGGTTCTCCTGACCGCTCCCGGCCTCAAAAATAGCAAGCGGTCCTGGGTCTGGGAAAAAAGTGCGAAAATATCTTTAGTATTTAGTGACGTGTCTCAGTGTAAAAAAATCTGGGTTCATTAATAGCCAGACGTCTTTTAAACATGCAGTATACTCCCTCAGTTTTATCCGCCACATTTCTTTCCTTTGTTGTACAGATGCGGTCTAGCGACTGCTCTGAATGTGAAAGTGCTCCAGTGTATTGAGCTCAAGCCTCCAAACCAGCTGTGCTCTTATTGTACTGTATTTGGAGCTGTTTACTCAGCGTTTGGCAGGCAGCTAGAGAACCGCCGGAGAAGGGCAGGGACATAAAGAGTGAAGTTGGGCAGAAGAAAGGCTAATCCAAATCCTCTTTTATAGAGGCAGCCGGACGGCAGCTAGGAGTGTGCAGATTTACACTGGAGCCGTTCAGGCGGCGGAGGCCCGGAGCTCTGAAAGCTCATACACCAGCCTTTGTGCTTACATCGCAGCTTTTGCCGTCTACACGAAACCCACAGGCTTAGAGACATCTAAAGCCACACATATGCCTAGACGCACTCAAACAAACACTGAGCAAGCCAAAGCGCATTCAGCATTAGTGGGCACCTGGTTTATTCAAACTGGAGCGACTTAGAGTGAAGACTCGAGAAACAGACTGTTATATTAAAAGCATCACAGCTGTCATCAGGTTTCCATCGTACTATAGAATTTAATTAAAGCGAATATCACCTCTATTATCTTTGATGTTGCTTAGTTGTATTGCTGCTGCCTCATGCCTTTATTGTGTTCACATTTACATTATTTTTTCACCCAACATTTCATAATTTATTGCATTTCTTTTTATCTGTTCATCCACCTCAAAATTTGACAATTTTATTCAGCATGTGCCATTTTCATAAAGCTTTCCTTTGTCAAAATTTTGCGTAAAAATGGTGATGGAAACCGATTTCACCAACGTTATAGAGTATTTAGACACTCTGCATCTCTTTAGGACCTCAGAGTTCTGAGTTATCTACCCGTTCAATGCATTCTATTTAGGTTTTAGGTCATCAGATGATGTCAACTAGTATCTTCAGACCCCGACCCTCTGCAAAAGGTGTTCTGGTCCTCAGTGTCTTTCTTAGGACAACATCAGTGTGTGAAACCGCTGTGGTTGTCATTTTAATGTCATTATGGCAGAAGTATCATTTTCCTCATAGTCCCTCCTGTGACTAATTATCCATCTTCCTCTTGCCCGTTCTCCAGCCCACCAATTCGCTCTTGCCTCAAGCGTTGGTGTTGTTTATTGTTGTTGTTGCTGTGGTGTAATTGTTGCTGTCATGTATGCTATTAACCCAGTGGTACCCAATCCAGTCCTCAGAACTGCCCCCCCCAGCTTATCCATATTATTGCTGTATTCCACCTCTCGACACCTGAGCTCATTATAGTAATTGTTTATTTAATCTTAATCAAGGATTCAAATCAGGGATTAAGGCCTATATGATAGGAAATTGAAAATATAGAGATACAAATAAAAACAATTAAATAAAACAAGTATTACCTTCTAACACACAAGCACACATAGCCAAATGGTGGAGCTAGTCTTTATCTGAAAAATATTGTACAAATTTCTGTGCGTTTTTGCGATTTGTTTATGTTTTTATTATCATCTTGTAGCTCAGTATGTAGTGTGTTAAATCTCACATGCCTATAACACAAAGATAAATCACTCAATCAACCCAGCCATCAGGTGTAGATCACTTTATACGCAAGAAACGTTGTTAAACCTTTTGTTTCCATATTTTTGTTTGCATTTTTCATATAAAATGTTTTTGTGGATAAACATTCTATTCATTCAGAAACGTGAATAAAGAAAAAAGTGGTTAAAATGTCCACAACGCCTCTCTGAGATGTGTTGAGAGCTGGAATTGAGCAGGAATGCTGGTTGGAATAGGATCTCAGAGGACTGAGTGGGTGCCTGTGCTTTAACCCCTGTTGACCCAGTTGCTTGTTTTCTCATCCCTGCGTTGGTGCTGCGGTGACTGCGCTGTGCTGTGCTGTGCTGTGTGAATGCGTGGGCTTTACGTGCATGGCCCTGACCCGGGACAGGGGTCACTCTGGCTGACCTCGTGGACAAGAAGAAGAAAGGGTTTAGCTGGTTCAGTCAGTCCTCTGACACTCATGGTAAATCCACTCCTTCACCCCAGTACAGTGTGACAGTTTACCGTGTTATTTGAGAATGATGGTTAGGGCTGTCACTATATATCGTGGTAATTAGCGAGTAACATGACTAAATATGGTCATGACTAATAAAGTACACACACACACACACACACACACACACACACACACACACACACACATTGTCTAAGCCTATTATTCTGGGTTATGGGGAAGCTAGAGCCTATTCCAGTGGTCATCAAAAAAAAAGAAAAATAGCCTAACTGGACAATAACAAACCATACATACTATGGATTTACAGTCATATCAGTATCAACTTTGACATATATTGAATTTGACTGATATTTCAAACTGATATTTGATTATGTATTTATTAAGAGCAGAACATTTAGGCAACACTGGGTTACTGTTTTAGTCATTTTACTATGTTACTTACTAACCATCTATAAAGACATTTCTCAGTAATGCCAATTCAAGCGGATCTAGACCCAGTTACCACATTTTCTATATTGTTTATATTTCAGTATGGACAGATACGTACATGAAAAATATGACAAAATTGCAGTTGGTCCAGAATTCATATTTCAAAGTTTCTTAGTACTTTTATGGAAAAGGATGATGGCAAAAAATGATGTGGCCAGAAATACACACAAATGTTTCATCGTGCAAATAGCCAACTAATCATTGTTATTTTATTTACATTTTAATTTGAAGTTTAATTGATTAATTGTGACAGCCCTAACTGTGTTGTGTATCAGGACGGGGAGTGTGTGTGTTTCTGTCTTTTCATGTTGCTTCTGCACTCTTTCCCTTCTGTTTGACCCCACCTTGCATCAATTTGCCTTTCCCATTACATTTTTGTCACATTATACAGTATAAGCTGTCCTAGACTCACTGATTACAGTAGATTAGATGAAGTTTATGGTCCACAAAGGAAATTTTCTCTTACAGGCAGTGTTGATAATACACAGAGACCAGTATACACAATTCTGTACTTATGACCTATACAGTTTCATACATTCATACCACACAGTAATCACACCAGTCTGCTCAAACTGGGACTCAGATAGACGTTTCTCGATAGAACCTCAGCCAACTTTATTTAGGCCAACTTTTTTTATGAACAGTGTGTGAGTTTAAAATGGAGAGAATGGGGCTAAACCGCGATCAGCGTCTCTCAGCTCAGCACTTCCCAGAGCCATCACAAAGAGTTTGATCACACATACACACACTGCTTATCCTCCACTGATGTGTCAGCACCTATCCACATCTCAGAGAGAGAGAGAGAGGGAAAGAGAGAGAGAGAAACAGAGGGAGAAAAACAGAGATGATGAAAGTGAGAGAGAGTCTGAAAGAGCACTCTAATTCATGTTAATGGTCTCTCTCCCACCCCGCTGTACTAAACAGTATATTATGACCATTATGCTCCTATTAACCTGTGTTGACCTTCTGATATTCCAAATTACTATAGCAACCTCACACTCCATCTCTGCAGACAGGCTGGCTTATGGCTGAGAGCCATGAGTGCCTACGGCTGCCACGCTGGGCTGTTTTTACAAAGAGGCGTAGCAGCCTGCAGCAGTAAAACCACTCAAGAGTTAACGGATAAATTCAGCTCACTGATTTTCTGTTTTCATACTTAATGGTTCACAAACCTTTTTTGTTGTGTGTGTTGCTGGATTGACAGTAAGCTGTATGTGAAATTTACAAAGGAAATATCACCAGTGGGAAAAAAGGAAGAAGAAAGAATGAATTATAAATAAAAGGAAAGAGAAGGGATAGGGGAGAAAAACTCAGTTACAGTTATAATTAGAGGAAAGGACATTAGACTTGGTAAATGAAGGTTAATTGTATTAAAATAAGGCATTTAAAGGCCCAAATCTTGAGCTTTTACATTTATAATATACGAGTCAATTCATATTTTAGCATTACTGTAAGTCTGAATAAGGTATAATGGAACAGATATCTGAACAGGTCATCTGTAATGAAGGTGTGTTTAAGTCAAAACATCCATGTTCAGAGCATCTTCATAACTATAAGATTTCACACACAGTGGCCTTTTTTTACACACTGAAATTGACTGTTGGCGTTGTCTGATCAGTGCTTTGCTGAGAAATATTACCCAAAAAAATCAAAAGCAGCGTGAATTTTTCAAATTTTAAACTTTTTGGACATGAATTCTATTGATGTATTGATTTTTACACCCCAGGAGGTACTGTACACTGTTAGAAATAAAGGTTCTGTGCAGGTACATTTTTGTTTATCAAGGTACAAACAAAGGAACAACAGTGGTTTTGAAGGTCCGATTGTGAACCTCAAATTAGTTTTTCCAGGTGAAAAGTTCGTATTTGTACCATTTCATAACCGAATGTTTTAAAACAGAACAGTAAAATAAAAGCCTGGAGACGAGACGGGGTGTGTGGAGTCAGAATAGCTTAGAACATATCATTTCAGTGGATTATGGTACAGTTATGTTCCCTGACTGAGATGTACCACTACTGAGATGTACCCTTGAGGGTCCCACCCCAGTGACAAGTGGGGCACTGCCCCAGTGACAGTTTAATACCTTTATTTCTGAGAGTGTCTGTGTTCATAAGTATCACTGAATTAATTAGTATTATGTTCAGCTGCTTTAAAGTAGGGCTAAACAATTTGGGGAAAATATCTCATTGTGATTTTTTTAAATAGTATTGAAACTGCAATTTAAATTCGGATTTTTTTAATAAATCCAAAGAATATATATATATATATATATATATATGTGTGTGTATGTATGCCTGGTTTTTGGCAGAGAATGTCCACTTTTTCTGGCTTAAGGCTTTAACACTTGATGTAGTGTGCCAGATAGTTCTGGTACTACTGTTTATAGCAGATGGATGTTTGGTTGCCTAACACATCTGCAGGCAGTTTGCAAGTTTTATGTTATTTAGGTTAAATTTCTCCACTTAAAACTTATTAAGACCACAGTGTTTTTACTATAGACTGTAATTAAAATTGCAGCTCTTGCGATTTGAAAATTGTACTCTTTCAAATTGCGATTTTGAGATAAAAATGATTCGTCTTTTCTGATAAGCCATTTCTGACTCAGACATTCAGTTGCACTCACACAGCTTGTATAATCTCCATACAAAAGCATTAACCAATAGAATGCGATACCGTGATGCCTAAGGTCACTACGCCAAGCATGAGCTAGAGGGGTGTAAAGCTGTGTCCTCTGGAGTGATGGAACTCCATCCAGTATCTTGGGGATCCAAAGAGGCTAAACTCATTATTGGTACCCTTGATTTAGGAAGAAATACTTGATGGGCAGGTACTTTTGGACATATAGTGTGTATAGGAGAGTTTTATTTAAACAATAAAATTACTGAATTTGTTCAGATCTGTGGTGGGACCCAGTCTGCTAGAAGGTAGAGCTCCAGGAGGACATTTGTCGACCACTAGATCAGTTCTAAGTACTATTCGGACAGGATTAGTCTTACCTGTAGTGGTAGGGTGATGTAATTTTACCACAGGACATCTGTAATGTTTATGATCGATTCACACAGGATGAGAAATCTCAGTGTAGATTGATAAAGGAGGGGCTACTTGATTTACATTTTGCCTTCACACCAAAAAAATTCATACGTTTGGCTGCTGACAAGTAGAAAAATTTCATTTAATTGTATTTTTTTACTCTTAGCCATCTCTCTAGCTGCCTTAAGTAGACACAGTCTGTCATTAGCCTTGTCATTAGCTTGAGACTTTACAGCAAACATTTTAAACAACTGCATAAAATCAAACTTTGCTGTGTATTTTGCAGAGTAAAGGTAAAAGAGGTAAAGAGGTAAAAGCTGCCAAAATCTTTACTAATGCAGGAACGTGCGGTCCATAAAAATGACGGATTCGGAAGGGACTAAAATCAGAAACAGTGGTAATAATTACATTACCCAACTTCCCCATGTAAAACTAATCCTGTCTGAGTAGTGCTGTAGTCTGTGACTGAGAGAACCAGCCTCTAAGAATGCTGTCCTTGTGAAGAATTTGAAGAGAAGATGTTGATTTTGGCTGCATATGTTTCTTTTTCGTGTAAATCTGATATGCCTGTAATGTTACAGCGAGTGTTCCAGCGAGTGAAACTGAATCTGTGAACACGGAGAATGAGAAAGGAGAGGATGAGAAAACGACGTGCTGTGGCCCACTGTGGTAAACACACACACATATAAATACACATACAATTATACGCACATATATGTAGACTATGTGCACATATTTCCTGTACATATGCTCAGGCAATAAACACATTTTGTCTGTTGCACAGCTACTATCTCAGAAACGTAAAGAGTGAAAGTTTTGTTCTAAAATATGTGTCACTTGTTTACTTTTCAGCCAGAAAATCTCAAAATCAAAGTTCAGGTTAGTAAACATACTTAACGTTGTCGTCATGCTTTATACAACATTCATATTTGCATGCTGTTCCTGTCTGTATTTATGTACTATACATGGAGCATTTTGTTTGCTTTAATGTCATTTAGCTTCTTCAATGTAAAGTCTAGTTCAGTTTTGGATGTATGTTGTATGGTGATGTGTGCATGTATAGAATATTGGAAGCTTTTTGAGCAGTACTGGTTATTCGGTTGTGTCTTACGGTTATGACTGTCTTTTGATTTTGATCTCCTCTCTGACATCCTTTCCTCACTTTGGATATCATTTTGGGTTCCCTGGCAGTCGGCGCTGGCGTCGCTGGAACAGATTCTGCCGCAGGAAATGCCGCTTGGCTGTGAAATCGGTGCCGTTCTATTGGCTGGTGATCATTCTGGTGTTCCTCAACACTCTCACCATCTCATCAGAGCACTACAATCAACCTCTCTGGCTCACACAAGTACAGGGTGAGAGCACACACACATTGCACTACAGTTCAACCAGTTCAGCTCATGCATGGTCCACACTGTCATATACTCATACACACGCCACACTGGGGCTAGACAGACTGACTCATACAAATACACCAAAAAAGGACAACTACAGGTTCCCGTTTGTCCTTATAAATTTTAAAAATGTCTGAAAGATTTCATAAAATGTCTGAAAATATCGTATCTGCAGTTAAATTCTAAGATCATTCCTAAAGAACAGGTCATTCTATATGTTAAATTAGTTCAGAACAGTCGACTGACCAAAAAGGACAGAGTGTGGTCCTGTAGTCAGAAACTCATCACTGATGAAAGGCTAGAAGATAAAACACAGAGAGGACCCTGCAAGGATCATGCAATCTCAAAGCATATATTTATGCTTTTTCAATCAATTGGTTTTGAATAAAATGTACACAAATACATGCAATTTCAGTTCAGTCTCCTGTGTGGTGGAAATAGTACCATTTTTGGTCTACAAAAATGTATTAAAAACTGATTTTTGTGCAGCAGCCCTGCACTAATGTAGTAAAAGGAGTACTACAGCATTTTAACCTGATCTCTCTGTATCTGTAGCATGTGGTCGATTACCACACACAATTCTTATAGAATTAGAAAGGAACAGAAAACGTACTGACTCTAAACACACTTTTAACCCTGTAAGACCTGCATTGACGCACTTCCACCATTGCATATTTTTGTGTTTTGTACTTTCATTTTGTTTTTTGGACAGAACTGTAAAGTGCTGTACATCCGCAGATTCAGCACAACATAATAAAACATCGTTCAGTAAATATTTATACACACTATATTTGTAAATTAGCTCATAAAACCACAGTAGCACAAAAATTAGCTTAGGTTTTTTTGCAGTTTTTATTGACAAAAAAAGTTAAGAAAATTTTAACACAGATATGATAAAGAAAGTAGATTTAAACTGATCTGTGAACAAAACGATTTAACAAGCATCATGCCAAGTGCATGGAAAGGGTATGCATGTTTTCTATAAACGCTTGTATTTCTGTTTTTCTAGTTTCAAGGGGAAAAGAATGCATATCTCAAGCAGCGACGCTTTAAAGATAGGATGATATTCGTCTCGCCGGCGAAGGGTTAATAGAGGCCGCTGGGCAAGTGCTTCAGTATTAATCCAGCACCTGCTGATTGGCTTCTATTATAGGCTAAATTATGTTTCGCGTGAACGTATTTCTTTTTTGAAGACTGGGAAGCATGTCATAGCTACTGTCTGCGAAATGGCACTGTGTGCTGCAGATGCGGCAGATAAAGATTAGACTGATACATGCTGAAGTGTTATGTTATGTAAATTATTAGCTATTTTAGCAAATACAGTGACTCAGTGACTTTGGATCCTGATAATCATCCTAAATCGCATTTTTCTCTCTGTGACTCTCTGTGTTTGCCTGCAGACGTGGCCAATAAGGTCCTGCTGGCGCTGTTCACGTGCGAGATGCTGGTGAAGATGTACAGTCTTGGTCTGCAAGCCTACTTCGTATCACTTTTTAATCGCTTTGACTGTTTCGTCGTATGCGGCGGCATCACGGAGACGATCCTAGTGGAACTGGAAATCATGTCTCCACTAGGCATCTCTGTGTTCCGCTGCGTACGACTCCTGAGGATCTTTAAAGTGACACGGTAAGAGGGCGTTTATGTGCGCTGGAACCGGTGTTTGTGTTTGTTACATTATTACATATTGTATTTTTAAACTGTTCAGAAATGATCAGATTAATGCGGTGTAAGTTATTTTAAAGGTGCACATGTGATCAGATTTCGTAAGGCCCCAGATGGAACTTTCTGAGATCACATGCAACCATTAACAGTCTCATTAGTAGATTTTTAGGAGATCTGCTGGCATTATGAATGACTTCTTTAGTACTCGCTCATCTAAGTAATAACCTAACCTGTCTTGAGATGAGTAACATTGAGAGACACATCTACTTTATGCAGTGAGCAATAAATAGGCATGTCTAGCTGTGACTAACAGTAATTAACTGAGTAACATTTCTCAGCCTTACTGACAGCTGGAATAGTTTTTTTTCGTTCTGCAGATAATTTCTTTTTAAAACATTCGGTATATTTAGTCCATTCAGTTGCATGATATTTACAAATGAAATAACCTCACAGGTTAATCTGAGCCCCACATATACCTAGCAGTGAGTGCCAGGGATAGACCACTGTATTCTACAGGGTGAATAAGCTGATGTCGTTCTCTGCAGACACTGGGCATCTCTTAGTAACTTGGTGGCATCTCTGTTGAACTCCATGAAGTCTATCGCCTCCCTGCTGCTCCTGCTCTTCCTCTTTATCATCATCTTCAGTCTGCTCGGGATGCAGGTGTTTGGTGGCAAGTTCAACTTCGACGAGACGCAGACCAAAGAGGAGCACCTTTGATAACTTCCCCCAGGCCCTCCTAACTGTGTTTCAGGTGCGTATGTGCGTGTTTGTGTGGGCTGCACAACAGGGACAAAATACTGGTATTGTGCTCATTTAGCTACATATTGCAATTGCAGATGCTTTGCCGTATACTGAAATGTAATGATGTGCCGTGTTTATAGGGCCCATATGTTTTTTCAGTTTTCTTATTTTCTCATTTCCTGTGTTCTTATTCAGTTCGACTAGTGACTTGTGTGCGTTTATATACCAACAACATTTATATATATATATATGTATATATATACATGAAACCATTCTCTCCACACGCCACAGAATACGTTCAATTTCAGCTTTCACTCCAGCACAAGTCACTGCACTTTGCACTGTCCTTTAAACGGGTGTCATTATAGCGTAAGTTAGCTACAGCCTTGCCGTGATGTGGCGTGTTTGGCCTTCTAACTTAGCTCTCTAGGAAACACCACAGAACAGGTTGCGGTCACTCTTCTTTTGCTCTCTCAAACATTTTTGTCATCTCAATTTGTGTCAACAGAGCAGCAGTTTTCAGAATCAAGCCTGTGCTGTGGTTTGCGGCACTATTTGGGTCTGTAGCTGGTTTGCTAAGCTAACGTTAAGGTAGCCTGTCAGGCCACAGGTCCAAACACCACCATACAGGTTTGATTTTGCCTTTCTGACCCTTCAGCGGTTGCTCGACTTCACACTCTCAGATTTCAATCATTATTAATTATTTAATCATCCAAACGGTCTGTGCTTTAGTCGGTCAGAATCGAATAATGTTCTGTGGTGAGTAGAGCTGTTAGCATGCTAGCGAAGCTAACGCTAACCAGCTCCTCTCTCTTAGTTAACAGCACTGTTTAACATTTATCTGTTGTTCGATAGATGGTTTGACACTGAATGATGATTATTGAATGACAGCTTGAAAGCTGTGAATTCTTTTAAATACTATAGTACACAGAGTGACTGTGTCTCCTCCTCAGATTCTGACAGGCGAAGACTGGAACGCAGTGATGTATGACGGCATCATGGCGTACGGCGGCCCTTCATCATCAGGAATGATCGTGTGCATTTATTTCATCATCCTCTTCATCTGTGGAAACTGTATCCTCATCCAACCTCCATGTTTACAGTCCATCAGTTTCTATACTGCCTACACTATTTATACAACTGTCAATTTGTTTGTTTATTTGTTTAACAGGACTAGTTAAGGTTAGCCTGGTAAGTCATGAAGCGATGAGTAACTCCTTAGAGAATTGGTAAATGCCCAAGTCAGTACACATATTAATGTGTAGGCATGAAGAAAAGCTGTCGTCTTTTTAATTGAGACCTGAATAAATATAACTAACACGTAACATGCAGCTCTGAGATGGCTAAGCATATTTCCATCTTCATCTCCAGTTCCATTTTTCCAGAATCTAGCTTTGCCTTTTGAGTTGTCAAGTATTTTTGTGTATTACGGCACAACCATACTAGATAAAACCAGTCATATTCCACTTCACTCAGTTCCTATAATTAAATTGTATCAGATTCAGACTTAAGGGAGCTACAAATAGAGAAATTCTGATTACATAATGAATCATCAAAATAATCAGAATATTTTAGAATACCTTGTGACAAATATGATCGATAGTGACAGCGCTATTGTAGTAACTGTTGTGCCTACTTTGTAGCAGTGTTGTATTGTTTCTCCTTGACAAATCTTCTAACTTAGACATCCTGCTGAATGTCTTCTTGGCCATTGCTGTGGACAACTTGGCAGACGCTGAGTCTCTCAACACGGACAGTGATGACAAGAAGAAAGAGTAAATGCAGCACAACATGCATGTGTAAAATAATAAAATGACAGGCCTCGTTCAGAATTATAATATTGTGTGTATATCGTGCAGCAGGTTGTGCAGACAGACAGCATAACGCTGAATTTAAATTGGCAGTAGGCAGACAAATTTGATGATTTTACAGAGGTAGGCAAAGGTAGTGTTAGGAGTTTTGCCCAAAGGCTCCTATTGGTATAGTATAGGGTGCCCAGATGGGGATGGAGCCCCAGTCTAGAGGAGTTACTCACTACACTATACCAACCATGATGTTTTAATATTAATAGAATTTGGCCTGATAAGTTTTATGCAACAGTTTGTGACCTGTATGTTTGTAGTTTGTTTCATATTTTATGAAAGCTGCTAATATAACAAAGAAAGCTGCGCTCAGCCTGTTTTGTTTGTTTCTTTTTTTCAAGCGATGACAAGAATGATGAAGATGAGAAGGTGAGAAGAAAAGCTGACGTCTTTCTAATTGGAACCTAAATGCAGTGTGTGTGTGTGTGTGTGTATGAGGTTAGTGGAGGTGTTTGGTTTGTTGAATCTTTCTTTTTCTTTTCTTCCCCCACTCATAGGGTCCAGAGGATGATGAGAAGGACAATGCAGGTAGAGAACTGAGTGGAGTATGTGTGTACAGTTATTGGCCATTATATCAGAAACATCTACCATATAGGTGCACCTTGTAGGTTTAGAGTTACAGTCTGTAGTCTGTACATCTGTTGTACTTTTTATCGGCTGCACGTCCATGAATGGAAAGGGACTGCCATGGCACTAACACTGACCACTCTGTAAAAAATGATGCAGGTTTTAAACTCTAAACTTGAAAGTTCAATTAACTTACTTAAAGTTTCATAATTTATTGCAGTGAAGATGTTACTAGGGTGGTGGGCCATTCCCAGTACAGCGGTGACACTGGTGTGGTTGTGGTAGTGTGTGTGGTGCTTATACAAGTGTATTAGGTGCAGCAAATGACCAGTGAGTGTAGGTACAGCTGTGGTATACCTCATAAACTGCAAGTGCAGTGTATATTCATGTAAATGCACATTATTGCTCACTGCATGTTCTCTCTGTAAAACAGAAGATGAGGAGGATGAGCCGGAGGTTCCATCAGGGCCTCGTCCTGCCATCTCCGAGCTGGTGAAGAAAGAGAAGATAATACCCATCCCAGAGGGCAGCGCATTCTTCATCTTCAGCAACACTAATCCGTAAGAATCACACACACATACACATTTAGACCCATCATTTATGGCGGCGTGTTCTTTATCTTCAGGAATACCATTTTAAAGGTTTCTCAAGGCACGCAAACAGACGTAGACCACGTTCTCATTAGCTGTCTGAATATTCAGCATCCACAAAAGTACGTTCACATGTGCACACAGTCACAAAACACACAGTTTCTCCTCAGGAACACCTATTTGAAGGTTTCACACACACATACACTTCCTCATGGAACTGAGCTTCCATAGACTTCTATAATTTCACTGCTGCAGCAGTGAGGAGTCATAGAGTGACAAATTATGTATGTGCCAGCATGATGTCTCAGGAATCCTCCTTACTGTATTAAAGTCAGTTCCGTACAGAAATAATACATGGACATATATATCAGTCATAACACATAGCACCACAACCATAACTATCCAATAACAAAACGGTTCCAATATGATCCTAATCAGCTGTTTCACTTTAAATGCTTGTATGCTTATATATCACTGTTGTCGGAGGACAACCTTGTATCTCTAAAATGATTTACTTTACAGGAGAAGGAAAAACCTACTTTACTTTTAATGCAAGTCATTTTGGGCTGTTTTTTTTGTCCATTCATCATGAAATGTACACACAATGTAAAGACCAACAGGTATTTTCAAAATATGCCAAAAACTGAAAAAAGGTGTAATAAAGGGACATATTATTCATATGTAATATACTTTATTAATACGTACATTCCAAAAGCCTTTTTACAAGCCCACACACTCTGGCACCCAATTCCTGCTGCACCAATACAGTACAAAAACTCTATATACACCGATCAGGCATAACATTATAACCACCTCCTTGTTTCTGCGCTCATTGTCCATTTTATCAGCTCCACTTACTATATAGGTGCACTTTGTAGTTCTACAGTTACAGACTGTAGTCCATCTGTTTCTCTGCATACTTTGTTAGCCCCCTTTTACCCTGTTCTTCAGTGGTCAGGACCCCCATGGACCCTCACAGAGCAGTGCTGCTAGAATTTTTAAACACTGTGTCCACTCACTGTCCACTCTATTAGACACTCCTACCTTGTCAGTCCACCTTGTAGATGTAAACTCAGAGACGATAGCTCATCTGCTGCTGCACAGTTTGTGTTGGTCATCCTCTAGTCCTTCATCAGTGGTCACAGGGCGCTGCCCACGGGACGCTGTTGGCTGGATATTTTTGGTTGGTGGACGATTCTCAGTCCAGCAGTGACACTGAGGTGTTTAAAAACTCCAGCAGCACTGCTGTGTCTGATCCACTCAGACCAGCACAACACACACTAACACACCACCACCACGTCAGTGTTACAGCAGTGCTGAGAATGATCCACCACCCAAATAGTACCTGCTCTGTGAGGGTCCATGGGGGTCCTGACCACTGAAGAACAGGGTAAAAGGGGGCTAACAAAGTATCAGAGAAACAGATGGACTACAGTCTGTAACTGTAGAACTACAAAGTGCACCTATATAGTAAGTGGAGCTGATAAAATGGACAATGAACATAGAAACAAGGATAATGGTCATAATGTTATGCCTGAACCGTGTATATATACTATATTTCAGACTATGTTTCCAAAATGGAACCTTCACAGTAGAATGAAAAAAATGTTTTGTTTAAATGTGTGTTTGTGTTATGTGTGGTTGTCTGTGTGTGTTTCTAGGATTCGTGTTGCGTGCCACAAGCTTATAAACCATCACATCTTCACCAACCTCATCCTCGTCTTTATCATGCTGAGCTCCGCCTCCCTTGCTGCTGAGGATCCAATCAGAAACTTCTCTACCCGCAACATCGTAAGTCCACACAAACACAAAGTCTTACACAGTTTATTTTGAGGACATACAAATGAAACTATTATTCAGATGTGCTAAGAGTTAAAGATGTGCTGTTTCTTTTTTAATAACGTAGCTACACTGTATCTCACTGATAGTGGTTTTGAGTTTTGAGAATAAATTTTAGGAGAATATTGTAAAACTAATATTTGAAAACTAATGTTTTTCATTATCATTTTATTTCCAACCTGCGCCTGCCTCCTTCTCGTCTGTTGTCTAATGATCGTCTGCTGTGGGAAAACATATATATTCTCAGATTATGCATGCATACAATTTAATAACATTTTGATAAACAACTTCGATGCTTTCATGCTCAGTTTCTTCTGTTTTTTACTGTATATTTAATGGGACCTTTGCATGAATTCAAATACAGTGTATTTGATAAAGATGTTATTAAGATCAATGCCTATTATATGATTATATATCAACATGCAACATGCATATAATATGATTAGACATATTGCTTCTATTGCTTCTTTCTAATAACTGTTTTGCACTAAATTTTCCATGCTGTTTTCTCCATCAGATGCCTAATACCGTCAGTCCTTGTTAAACATGTACATTGCTTTTTGCAGATACTTGGTTACTTTGACTATGCCTTCACGGCTATCTTTACTGTAGAGATCGTGTTGAAGGTAAATTCTGATGTCCGTGTCTGTGCCTTGTCTGTGTCGTGTGTGGTCAGTAATGTTGTAACCATCTGGTCTATTCCAGGTCCTAGGCTATGCAGATTATGTCTTCACTAGTATGTTTACGTTTGAGATCGTTTTGAAGGTAACCTCTCGAATGGCGCACACGGCCTTCCTGCATTCTCTCCCCGTGTGTCACCTGCTCAGTCTTCAACCTGGCTTGATGCCTTTCTTTCTTTTCTTTTTTCCTATTCTTTTCTTTCTTTTCTTTTCTTTCTTTCTTTACTTTCTCTTTCTTTCTCTTCTTCTTCTCTCTTTCTCTCTCTCTCTCTCTCTGGCACCTCTTTTAAGACTAAAAAGAAAAGAAACAGTTCAACAGCATACCAGCACATCTCCATACGACACATTCTGCTTCATCTAATGGCACAAGAGTTGTCGACTTTTTAGTTAACCCCGAATCTTGAGAAGACCGATGCTTAATACAGATCTGATTGGTGTGAGATATTTTATGTATGCACAGTTCATTTGTGAATTGACCAGTCACTGTTCTGCCACAGTTATTTATTTTGTAGCTACTGTTGTGAGGTCGGACAGGCTTTGCCGAATGCTGCCAAAAAAAGCAGTTCAACCTAATGAAATGTTAACTTACTTATTATCGAACTTATTCATCTATAGAGATGCAGCAACACCACTTTTTCCCTTCCGATTCCGATACCGATACCTGATCTTTTAGTATCAGTCAGTACCGGGTACCGATACCGATACTTAGTCTATCTAACCTAACTCACCTATAACTCCTAAATTATATAATTTATACAATTTATACAGTTCAATCTATTTTATACAATTACATTTTTAAAATTTATTATTTTGGTAAAATCAAAAACACACTTAGCTTGGCTAGATGGCATTTATTTGTTGGATTATATTTATTAGATTTTTTTTTTTAATTACTGTATATAATTAGTATTTACTATTACATAATTAGTAATAGGAACCATGTTTAACAATTAAATGTAAAATTTCTTTGTTGTGCGAAACAGCTGAACAGAACACAGATAAGCCTGCGTTATTTACGCATCAGTGCACAGCAGCTTCTCTGGTTCAAAAAAGGAGCTGAATGTTGTTTCACATCCAAATTTCTTGAGTCGTTTGTCTCATATGTGCAGTCTCGTTCACTCGCGCTGCATCTCTGAGCGTCAATTCAGTAAATATCACCATTGTTCACGCTGTCAGTATCAGCGACTTTCAGTGTTTTTTTTGGCTTGGTTGAAGCGACGGGTTGTGATACAGCTGACCGTTGGAGGCACATTGCAGACGGGACTTGTGGACGCACAGGCCTGGCTAGTGCACTGCTATGCTAAAGGTTGAATCGAGGCTAAATGCTATTATTATGCCTAGAGTCCCGCGGTTCCTCGGCTTTCTCAGTAACATTAACCACACAGCAGCAGACGAGTGATTGCTGAAAGAAACAGCTTTGCCGTTGAGGTAAGCGGCTCTGTTAGCGTGTTCTTCACACCAAAAACTGCCATTACAGATTCTGCCATGAGCATTTTTACTACTGCCTAACGTCCCAAACTGCTGATGCGTTGTTAAGTTCTGTCTACTGGTGGGCATGCATGCGTCAGAAGTTGCTTCGTGGTAGCGGCCTTAGGTATCGGTACCACATCAACAATGCCCATACTGCATTTAAGTGCCAGTATCGGCACTGATACCGATACGGTATTGGTATTGGTGCAACACTATTCATATACTTATGAATAATATTATAATATGAATTTATTTTTTTTAAAATACCTAAATCAGTTCATTTTAAAAGGTATTTATTTTGTATGCGTGTGAAATGTCACACTGTTAGGACAGAGTGAGTGCTGTCACATTTGGCTGTGTAATCCAGCTCATGCTAACATGGCAGGTTTGTTGTTATTTATAACCTGCCTAGTTATCCGACTCAGGAGCGTAACATTTTTTAAATGTATGCAGATACTCTGAACTATCTATACTACAATTTTTCATTAGGCTGAATGGGATTTTGCTAGTGTTCTGTAAACACTGCCCATCCTCACTACAGTAGGTATATGGGCAGAGCATGAATATGTCAATTGCAAGTGATAGCTGTGCAAAACAAAAGAAGCAAAACAATGCAACTCCTTGTGAAATGAGAAACATAAAATGATGTAAGTACATTTGAAAACACATTGCTTTGACTGAAGCTGGGTTAAAAGAAAAGAAAAAGAAAAACAAACCTGAACCCTCTGCAGCCAAAGCTTCAGCCGTGACTCAGACACATCCATAAAAGAGGGGGCAAAGACAACCATGTTCGGGCCGGGCATGGTTCAGATTACGATCCCCTTTGCTAAGCGCATATGAATGCAGCATATTCTCCAGACCCGTAGGGGGCAGCATAATCCACTGCTTCCACATCGAATTGAGCTTTTTTCACTATTTTGTGCATTTTTGTGGATAGTGGTTGTCTGTACGAACTGACCTAAGACCAGCATCTGTTATCTGAACTCCATTCTCAGCCATTATCAGAAACGATGCAATGCTGGTCTCAGATCAGCAACCAAAGGCAGCCAACTCCAGCAGTGTTTGGGGTTTCTGGGTACAGCTGTATTGACATGCACTTGGGAGACGACTCCTATGCGCTTCTGGTTTGGAAAGACTTGCTTTGGTTTTGGCTGATTTTCACTTTGTGTGCTGAGCCTGAGGGGGGCACTGGAGCCTCTCTCTGGCTATTTTGGGGTTTTTAGTAGAGGGACAGGGTGGAATATGCTTCCAGGCAAACGGCTCACATGAATGTTAAAGTAAGGGGGTTCTTGTTTCAGATCGCTCCACCGTTTTTCTCTGTCCCTTTCTTTTTACTTATTCTCTCTTTTTTCTCTCTCTTTCTTCAACTCTTTGCTCTTACATTCTTCTTCTTCTTTCTCTGTCTCAGTCTCTTGGTCTCTTGGCCTTTACCAAACCTCTCCCTCCCCAACACTTCATTACAGAGTGTCACTCCATATAAAATTACACTAACAGCAGTGGAGGGCACTACTAGTTAAGGGAGAGGGTATAAATACCTTGTCATGTGCTGCATTAGTGTTTCACCACTTAAAAGAGACAAGAATACATCTACAACGTTTTGCAGTTGAAACAGATAATATATATATATATATATATATATATATATATGTATATATATATATGTATATATATATATATATATATACATACATGCAATAAAATAAATTATGCATTTGTTTAATTAATTCTTGAGTGTAGGATGTTACAGATATGAGTCAGTGAACTTGTGGAGATATTTACTATTTTTGAATGTTAATGCCACCACGCACTTTCAGTGTCTGTGTTTACATGCGAAGATTTTTGCCAATCCGATTGAATACAATCCGATTATAGATTAAGACTGAGGTGTTTATGCTCACTCTACTCAACAATCTGATGCTCACTACAAGTAATCAGATCCAAAATTACGCACATGCGTAGAGAACCACTTAGTGTAGACGTTACCATGACAACGAGCATCACGTGAGTCCAGTCAGAGTGAGATGAGCAGCAGTGAGCAGTGCTTGTGTTTTTAATTACTTTAAAATGATGTCAGACTCAGGAAAACGTCCTTCACATGTCCTTATTAAAGAAGGCCGAGAGGAAGACGTCATGTTCTGAGACTCATAAGCATGAGGACATCCGTCCCACCGCCGTCTTTTAAAGATCAGAGCATAAACTTCGTCTCCTCTGCAGACCAGTTTCTGCTCCGCCATGTTGAACGGTATAAACTTTCACTATGACGCGACGAACATGATCAGAACGTACTTAAACTTTCCGACAGGGAATGTAATCAGATACAGGTGTTTACACGGTTATTATTCTTCTATTTAACGGATTATTTACAGGATTACCCACCTCGATCAATCGGATAGAAACTGTATTCTGAATGGCCTCAATAGCCACGTTTACATGCAGCCTGATAATCTGTTAACAATCCGACTAATAGCTCAATCGGAATAGAATACGTCCATGTAAACACCTCAATTGGAATATTCTAGTCTGATTGAGGCCATTTGGAATACAATTTCATCCGATTGAACGAGGTGGGTAATCCTGTAAATAATCCGTTGAATAGAAGAATAATAGCCATGTAAACGCCTGAATCCGATTACATTCCAATCGGAACGTGTAAGTATGTTCTGATCATGTTCGTCGCGTCATAGTGAAAGTTTATACTGTTCAACATGGCTGAGCAGAAACTGGTCTGCAGAGGAGACGAAGTTTATGCTCTGATCTTTAAAAGACGGCGGTGGGACGGACGCCCAGCTTATGTGTCTCAGAACACGACGTCTTCCTCTCTGCCTTCTTTAATAAGGACATGTGAAGCACGTTTTCCTGAGTCTGACATCATTTTAAAGCAATTAAAAACTCCAGCGCGCCAACTGGAAACTCATCTCACGCGGACTGGACCTCACGTGATGTTCGCTGTCATGGTATCGTTTACTCTAAGCGGTACTCCATGCATGCGCTGATACTGCTAAACAGGTTGTGCTTTTATGGAGGGCAATTGTAAATCAGTATCAACGCTCGCTCACTGTCGAACGGTTTTATAGTCACTGCTAATTACTTTGGAACAGCCTTCAGTATGAGCTCTTGTGAACGAGCAAACAGAGGCGGAGTGGATAAGCCAATAGAAAAGGGGCTAGAATGAGGCTAAGGGCTCTGAAATGAGACTGGGGCTCTGTATTTCTGTCTTTCTCTCCTCCTTTTCTCTCTCTCTCTCTCTCTCTCTCTCTCTCTCCTTCCTTAATCTCCTCAGCTTTGGCAACAAACTGCATGTTTTATTGCCTGGTCCCCTAGCCTGGCAGATTGTGAAATGAAGAGCTTACTACTACATTCATGCCAACAAAGCCGTGAGGGTTTGGCGGAGTTAGCTTTAGCTTTTAGCATCTTGCTCTGAACACGCCACCCTTGAATAAGAGTGATATCCAGGAGTGTATCTGTGTGTCCATTTAAGCATATGTCAGTGTGAGTGTGTGTTTTTCTGTGTGTATGTGGGTGAGTGCATCTTCTATGTGAAACGTTCCCTCTAAACTCAGTGGACGCTAACAACTGTTCACTTGTCACTCAGATGACGACCTATGGAGCGTTTCTCCACAAAGGGGCGTTCTGCAGGAACTACTTTAACCTGCTGGACCTGCTGGTGGTGGGCGTATCTCTGGTGTCCTTTGGAATACAGTGAGTTTCGGCTTCACTGTGTGTTTCCCCAAGTCTTAGTCCTCGTCCCTAATCTACGGATCCTCTAAAGGGACAAAAATAAATGAATCCTGAAGCTTTCAGACGAGCACAAGAGACGTTTGTGTGTACCAGAAAAGTTTGCTTGTTCACAAGAAAACATTTACACGTGTGTAATTGTATGCAAAAGCTTGGGAGCCTCTGGACAAACTACATGTTTTGTTTATTATCAAAGTGAAGATAAGGTAATATGTTTTCTGAGAGGAGCACACCTCTACACATTTTAATGCACAGTTACTGACTGTGCAAACATTATAGCACATTTTGCATTTGTTATTTTATGTTGTTTTAAGTTAATTTCTTTAGTACATTTAAAAATAACTAACATTGCACCAAAGTGCTTTACACAGGTCATAAAGATAACCCTTATGTGGTGTTGGGGTCCCTGGGACCCATTTAAAATGTTTACCAAAAAAAAATATGCAATTTATTATTATTTCAACCTCAGATTTCTTGTCCTTTGCTCTTTTTCTGTGAAGAACATATAAAATAACCCATTTTCAATGCCTTCACTCTGTTCACCCCCCACACATTTATATTACCCATGTGATGTTGGGCTGAACTCAATAACAGTGTGGAGGTGCTGCGTCCTTCACTCTGTTCACCTCCTACATGGCCTGCTGTTAGTGTGTGTGTCTGTGTGTATGTGTTTGTTTATGTGTGTGTGTATATGTGTTTGTATGTGTGTGTGTATGTGAGGGTGGACAACATGGACAGGCTGCTGACTGGCTACAGCTGCTAAAGGAGAACCCTACGCTGGACACTTGTGATGTTTTAAACATCTGGTATTTTTACATAAATTGTTGCGGCTGTATTGATTTAATAAAACAATAATGCGGTGGGTCCACCAGACCAATGAGTTACAATCACATCAACACCACACAAGGGTTAAGAGAAAAAAACAATAACGTAAAGCAAAGAATAAAAGCAAAAGACAACGCTAAAACCAAAATACTCATTTAAAAAATAAACAATAGACAAACTGATTAAAGGAAGGGAAATACAAGACGGCGCAGAACGTCATCCATTTTCTTATGGTATGAGCTTTGACTTAAAGGACTTTCTGTGTTAAGCTCAACAAACAATTAGTAATTCTGCACTAAATTTAGCTGAAAAATACCATATTTCAGTTTCAGTTCTCTGTAGAGGATGTTTTAAGTTATTTAGGCTTAGGAAGTCAATAATACATGTAATTTGACCTGGGATCTTCAAACTTTTGCATACGACTGTAACATATACTGTGACCTGCTCATGAGAAATATATGCCAGAATTTCTCCTGTGACCACAAAACATCTCTGTTTGTGAAAGCTTCAGGATTTGTGTTTATATGTCCCTTTTGGAGTGGCAAATAATGCTCTCTTACTGTACATACTGATTTTGTCCTAGTTATCACGTAGTGTGATCTGGTTCTATTTGTGCTTGCTCCTCTGTTGAAGCTGCTTACAGTTATTAAGGCATATTATTGTATAGGTCCTGTATTTTGCCTGAGTCTGTGCTGTACTTTAAATGTATTGGTATGTTCATGTATTGCATAGTCATATGTGTCATATGTCCATCTTATAATAATACTAACTGTGTGGTTTGTGATTGTCCATAACTGAAATGTGTTTTTTGTTGCAGATCTTCAGCCATCTCTGTGGTGAAGATTCTCCGTGTACTGAGAGTGCTGAGGCCTCTCAGAGCTATTAACAGAGCCAAAGGACTCAAGGTGCATAAACACTAATGCTAAGATTGGTGTTGTTAGTTCAAACACGCTTCTTATTTTTATTCTTTACAGATTGTTAACAAAAGCAGATTTACTTTGTCTTCATTGTGCATTAGTTGTCAATGTAGAATATACTTAGAATCAACCAATTGATTTGCATTGTATTGAATTGGCTGGAGACTGTAATAATGAAAAAGTCTGCATACTGTACTTCATTTTATGCTGGGCTCCTGTTAACAACGAGTTGATAAGCTGTACTGTGTCCTGCAGTCAGATGTAGAGCAAATAACTGCAAAGAAACAGAAACATTATGACACTTATTTAATTTGACTGTAAAAGATTATCATGCAAGTTCACCTATTAACTTTTGACCGGTTGTCCTCTGCAGCATGTGGTCCAGTGTGTGTTTGTGGCCATCAGGACCATCGGCAACATTATGATCGTCACCACTCTGCTGCAGTTCATGTTCGCCTGTATCGGAGTGCAGCTCTTTAAGGTTAGTTAAAGAGCTGCTAATGCTAATGCTCATGGTAAATTAAAGCTATTAGCGTTTGTATTATTTAAACGAAGTCATGCTAACTGACCTTCATTATCTTTCATTCATTGTTCTTAACTAACTTTTTGACCTATTCTTGAGATGGACATGAGATGAAGAGGAACATAACATCTAGACTATATTAGATCGATAAATGCTAAAGAGGGAAGGGATAAAATGCTTAGTAAAGGGATAACGAAATCAAATCTGATTGTATTACCATCATTTATGGTAAATTGTATTTGTTAATATGGTCATTTGGATTAATTTATATTGACTGTCCTTACAGAGGCACTCGTGTAAGTTGTAGTGTGCTGGTAAAGTTCGCAGTTCAAGTCTGTTAAAGATTGTAAATGCGCTCCTGACCTCTTTTCTTGTATCGCAGGGGAAGTTTTACCGCTGCAATGATGAGGCCAAATCAAGCCCAGAGGAGTGCAAGTCAGTCCCATAACGGGTTTTTCATTCACTCACATGCACACACGTCTCGTACTGACCTATCTTTGAAAACAAAATAAAGCTTTTTGACCTTGACTTTTTAGAAGTTCAGTGTTCCCTGGTAAAGTTAATCATGACTAATATCAGCACGTTTTGTGATTAGCAAGCAGTTCTTTTTTAAACTGCACTCTTTTATACCACCAGGTTCTTTCCTAAGTCTCAGTCTCTCCCTGCTCTCTCTCAGGGGCACGTTTATCCTGTACAAAGACGGAGACGTGAATCAGCCCACTATTCAGAAGCGCTACTGGCACAACAGCGAGTTCAACTTTGATAACGTGCTCATGGCCATGATGGCACTCTTCACTGTGTCCACATTCGAGGGCTGGCCAGCGTAAGACCAAGATGAAATATATTTTTATGCTTTTCTTTCTTTATTTTATTTATTTTTCAAACTAATTCTATAAAGAAGGTTTGTAAAAGGGTCACAAAAATGGGTTTAACACACTGTGGTCAGGTTTAGGACAATTTTTAAGTCTTTACGATATCAATAGCAGACATCATTGTGCATTAAAGGCATCAAAATGTGTCATACCTATACACCTATGTACACATACGTTTATACACACAAAGATATGCATGTATTTACGCGTGCAATTGCTAAAGACTAAACAGTTACCTAAAAACAAGGAAGGAGACAGTGGAGGAGACAGGAGACTGGTTGATTGATTGATTGATTGATTGATTGATTGATTGAGTCTTTTATTGCCACACAGCATGTTAATGGTAATTGGATCTGGTGCAACAAGATGTGATTCTACTCTGTTGTAGCACAAAACACATAAATGTACAATATAATACATATACGGTGAACAATATACAGTACAGTACTGTACGCAATATACAACATTTGGTATAGGAGAATCATAAAAAAATGACCGTAATTTCATCTGTGGATTCTTACAAAGGCTGGAAATCTTACAGATAACAATAATAACATAATAACATCTTATCATTATTATTATCTTACAGATAATAATAATAACATACAGTACTCAGAATTTAGTGACCTTATCACAGCAGGAAAAAAGCTATTCTTGAAGCGGGTTGTCTTAGTATTTGTGGATCTGTAACTCCTCCCAGAGTGAAGTGGTTAAAAACGATGGTTTGCTGGATGAGAGGAATCTGTAATTGATCTCTTTGCTCGCTTAAGGGTGTGCTGAATGTAAACAGAATCAGCTGAAGGAAGCGATATCCCAGTTATCTTTGAAACTTTACTGACAGTACCTTGCATTTCATTATGAGTCTGGATGTCTGTATTTTCGGGTAACACTGTCATAGATGAAGTGAGCACACTTTCAGTAATGCATGAATAACCCGTAGATAGATAGATAGACAGACAGACAGACAGACAGAACTTTATTGATCCCAAAGGGAAATTGCAGTGTTTCAGTAACAAGACATATAATTTCACATAAACTTGCATATACTACGCAAAAAATAAAAAACAGAAATAAAAATAGACATAAGTTAAGTATCAAGAGTAGAAACAAAGTATATCTATTTGCATATTTACATGGCATATGAGACAGATGTGTTGTATTTACATGATAGCAGGCACTGAGTGGTATGAGGTAGATTAAAAGCACAATGAGTACAGACATAACTAGGAGTTGCAGCAATATTACAGTGTAAAGTGCATAATGAAAGTGTCATTACAGTAGCAGGTTATGATATGTTGCCCAGTGAGTATAAACAGGCGAGGTGATGTAGTGATGTGGTTTAGCACAGTTAAGACAGCACAGGTCTGTCTCAAAAAGAGCAACATTTGTTGAGATTTTTTTATGATATGATCAGATTTAATGCTTCACTTCACAAATCGATAATATAAGATGAATGTAAGATGGTGAAGGACGTATTTAGATTCAGGTATTCGGTTTCCTCACAGCATTATTGGCACAGCTGAACTTCAATAATTTCTGCCTAATTTCTGTTTTCTTAAATTACGTTACTTCCTCCTTATTTTTAATACTTTTCTTTATCTTGCTTTGTTGGTATATGTAATATCAGAGAAGGCACCAAAGTCTCCAGTTCTGTGACCCTGAATAAATGGAGTCTGGCACACGGAAATTAGGCCATGAAATATTTTTGAAAGATACCCAAAGAAAGCATGTGGATATGTAGGAGAGCTGTTGTAATTGTGATTACTGCCATTGTTATTGAACCGAAAATCATCGTACTGGCTTACTTGTTACCTGCTACTCTCTGAGTCCTATTATATGATCTCTCACAGAACGCGATACTGAGTAGGTTAGAAATCACAGTGTTTAATAACAATAGCTCAGATTCAGTAATAGTAGTTCAGAACTATAATTACTGTTATTGTTGCTGCTGTTGGTAAGAAAGGAGGTGAGTGTAGCATGCTGTGGAAGTAATTGCAGTATTGCACAACCTACTTAATACAGAGGGTGTCCGTATAATCTCATACACACCATGAGTTACAGTTACACATCTACGTACACTTTAAGCTGTGTATTAGACACATATTCCTAGAAATTCAACATATAAATCTGTTGCACTTACAAATAACAGCTTCTACACTGAAACGTATAGTATGTATTTACCACTCACCATAAGTAAAACCATTCTAATGTCTGTTTTCTCACCTTTTTTCCCTCTGCTAGGCTTCTCTACAAAGCCATCGACTCAAACAAGGAAAACTTTGGTCCCATCTATAACTACCGTGTGGAAATCTCCATCTTCTTTATCATCTACATCATCATCATCGCCTTCTTCATGATGAACATCTTCGTGGGTTTCGTCATCGTGACTTTTCAGGAACAGGGAGAGAAAGAGTACAAGAACTGCTGAGCTGGACAAGAACCAGGTATGTGTTGATGCACTTGTGTGCATATGTTTGAATTAGGACTGCACAATGTATGATTTGCCAGGGATTAACGCGATATTGGGCTTGGCAAGACTGAGATCACAGAAGGCTGCAAAATGCAGACGAGCCTCTAACCAATCACAGTGTTTTGTGAGCATCGTAGCTCCAGATGAGTGTTTCTGTGGGTCCTTTGATGAATCAGCATACACAGTCGAGTCACATTATTATGACCGCTACTACCCTGGCCCCCTAATTCCCCAGACTTGAACCCGATTTAGCATCTGTGGGACCTCAATCGTCGTGTTCGCTCTAAGGATCCTCCCTCACACCCCCTCCAGCAGCTGTGGGATGCGCTGCAGTCAGCATGGCTCCAGATACCTGTGACAACCTACCAGGACCTTATTGAATCACTCCCAGCCCGTCTAGCTGCTGTCTGCACACGGCGGTTACTCTGGATATTAGCTGGGGGTCATAATAATGTGACTCAACTGTGTATTTAGATTATCTAACAAACGTAAATTATTTTGGTCAAAATAACGCAGGCCAATCTTTAACCATGTCTTATTATCGATTTACCAGTCTTTCGTTTATATATATATTGTGAGCTTTATCACAGTCACAATGTGGAGCAATATAATCACTATACTAGTACTTCTTCCATAATTTGTTGCCTTAGTGTGTATGAAATACACAGTATACACAGTATTTCGTTTTCATTAATTTCATTAATGAGGGTTGATAAGTTGGAGCACAAGAAAAGGCCCAATAGTTCCACATAAAAATAATTTTTTATTTATTGTTTCACATACTGTGCCATGTTTAAATTTGACTGATACCTCAAACCGATACTGGATGACGCACTATGGAAGAGCACAATGTTTAGGCAACGCTGGCTATGGTGCTAAAATGTCTCTATTTCATTCATTATACTGCATTTGTAATGCTACAGACATAAGTGTTAGATTTTTCTGTAACGTTAATGCAGTGTAGATTTAGTCTCAATTTCTACATTTTTAAAATCATAATAAACCAGCATTAGTATCAACGTCAGCAGACATGTAAATAACAAGTAATGAATGTTGACATCAGCCCATGGTTCCCATATCGATGCATCGCCCCCTAATGATGCTCTCTTTTTATTAAAACTTTGCAGCAGCTGTTCAGTGTCTTTTTGGACAGACAGTATCCACGATGTTTGGAAAAGCATACTGTGACATAAATGATCATTATATTGATTAAAATATCATCTAGTGTGTGTATGTGTGTGTTTGTGAACGAGAGAGCTAGAACAGCAGAATGGGTGAGAACATGTTCTTCCTGCATCTTTACTGTCACCTCAGCATCAACTGCATGTCTTTTGTGTTTCTGACTCTTCTGTGGTATTTGAATTTGTGTGTGTAGTTGTTTGTTTATTGCTGGTATAGATGGTGTCTGCTCGTGTGTGAGTGTCTCGGTCTGCCTCCACAGCGGCAGTGTGTGGAGTATGCGCTGAAAGCCCGGCCTCTGAGGCGGTACATCCCTAAAAACCCCTACCAGTACAAGTTCTGGTATGTGGTGAACTCCACTGGCTTTGAGTACATCATGTTCGTCCTCATCATGCTCAACACACTTTGTCTGGCAGTGCAGGTAAGAATGTGTCTGCTCTCTTTTTCTGAACCACATGTTGCTCAGGCTGGCATTTGTTTCGCAAATGACCTGGCCATGCTCCGCCCACAGATGTGTTCTTTCAAAGCAACTGTTGTGAAGTTTGACAAGCCTCACAGAAGACTGGAAAAATCCCATTTGACCTGGCGAGAAATTGTTGCATTTTCAGTTTAGTTGCTATGTATAACGCTGAGGTTACAGTTTAAAATGCTATGCTAAAAAACTGAAATATTATTGCACCTTATCAGAAATAAGGTTTGTTTTTGTTGCAGTGCTAATGTTACCTACAGTCCGTCTTAACAATGTCACTTTTACCTGCAAACAAAATGAATGATATTTGAAATTAATAACAAAAACTGAGCTTTGTGCTGATGGATTTTGGCTAGTGTTCTGTAAAGTTTGTCCAACTCCCAAATAATTTTCCCACATACTACTCAAAAGTAATCATAAAGATAAACTATATAGACAAAAGTATCGGGACACACCTCTTAATTATTGAGTTCAGGTGTTTCCCTGGATTGTTCAGCCACACCCATTGCTAACAGGTGGATAAAATTAAGCACATAGCTTTGCATTTTAGGCAATTTTATGCTTCCAACTTTGTGGGAACAGTTTGGAGAAGATCCTTTTCTGTTCCAGCATGACTGAGCCCCAGTGCACAAAGCAAGGTCCACAAAGGCATGACTGTTTGGTAGAAGAACTTGACTGGCCCTCACAGAGCCCTGACGTCAACCCAATCTAACACCTTTGGGATGAACTAGAACGAAGATTGCGAGCCAGACCCTCTCGTCCCACAGACAAACTCCATATTAATGTTTATGGATTTAGAATAGGATGTCATAAAAGCTCCTGTGGGTGTAATGTGTAGGTGTCCCAATACTTTTGTCCCTGTAGTGTGTGTGTGCATACTTACATACTATAATGAATCCAAATGCTGTTGCATTTGTCTCTTCTTCATCATCTCACTCTCTCACTCTTCTCTCTCTCTGTAGCACTATGGGCAGTCTCAGTTGTTTAACTATGTAATGGACATCTTGAACATGGTCTTTACTGCAGTCTTTACTGTGGAAATGGTCCTCAAACTGATCGCCTTCAAACCCAGGGTAAGTTACTTAAACACATAAGTGAGGGCACTAGCATCACTCAGAAGCGTACTACATCATTCGCATATAGTATAAACACTGCATAAACTCACATACTTATAAACGCATTTACATAGTTTTTCATCCCCTGCGTAAGAGCAAGTTATAGCTTCCTGAGAATAAGTATTAATTGTTTTGACTACGGATGACAATATAAAAATATATTCACTGAATCTCTATATATGAATATTCCCCCACTATCCCTGTTCCCGTCTGTATCCAGCTATGTGTTGAGAAGAAGGACAGAATGCTTGTAAGAGACATGGTGTGGTGTGCAGTGCTCAGACATATGAACCCCCTTCCCTGTGTGTGGAGTGAAATAATATGATAATAATAATAATAATAATAATAATAAATAACTGCATGCTACACACATAGACAATAGTGGAGTGCTGCATAAGCTGTCATAGATATTATGCAATTGAAAAATACATAATGTAACCCATCGTGCCTGCCCCCCCTGCTGCCTGTCTAAGGGCTATTTTGGAGACGCATGGAATGTGTTTGATGCTCTGGTGGTGATCGGCAGCATAGTTGACATTGTGCTCAGTGAGATTGATGTAAGTAAGCCCCGCCCACGGCCCCTCCCCTCTTCTCTTAGCTCTATCTGATTGCGGTCTTGTGACCTTTCTGCCTTCTACAATGATCTATTACAGCTCTTTATCTCAAGGGGGATATTTCAGCTCTTCTGAGCTACTTTTAAACAGCTGTCACTCAGAAATCAAATCTTTCTCAACTGAGTTCTAATTTTAGCCTTTCTCCCCTTTTTCTCAACTTTTCCTCCTGTGTCTTCCATGACTTTTTGGTCCCCCTCTTCTCTTCTCTTCTCTTCTCTTCTCTTCTCTTCTCTTCTCTTCTCTCGTCTCTTCTCTTCCCGTTCCATTCCTCTCTCCTCTCCCCTTTCCCCCTGTGGTGTGGTTTTTGTATTAACAGCATTATTTCACTGATGCTTGGAACACGTTTGATGCCTTAATTGTAGTTGGTAGCGTCGTAGATATTGCTATCACTGAAGTCAATGTAAGTATGCCTATCTTTGCTTCTCTTAGATTAGAAACCATGCAAGAAAACCATGTTAGGGGGACCAATACTGTATATTTTAAACATTGCATGCTGGCCTAACACGGATGTGCCATGTACATTGAAAGTGAGTAGTCTGAAGTAGAATTATCAGTTCTAGTGTCCTTAGGCAGGTCAAGACAGCTGAATACCTGTCTGTCCCCCATTGGTTTTTTGCAAGGTTTCATTTAGTAGTGTTGTCTGTGATTGTTTTGTTCTGTGAGTAGAAACTGTAGTTCTAACCAAAACATCCTTAACATACTGACTCTTTTCCCCTGCTTATCTAAAATATAGTAATATGCTGCTAAGACTGGGGAATGGTTGACAATCATTTATAACCAATAATTACAATCTCATGTCTTCCTGTGTTTGGTATTTGTGTGAGGGTATTTGAGAAGGATGGGATCGTGGTCAGTGCTTACCCAGCGTGGTGTTTATGCACCACTGCAAATCCATAGTGTGGTTTGTCTAACCCCTGTTCTTATTCATTCTGTTTCCATAGAAACTTGTAGAGGCAAGTATGGCAAGATGTGCTCTCCTCTTTGCTTGATTCTGCTTCATAATGGCTTTTTCCCCTCCTTACAATACTTCCAAAACGTTCTGTGAGGTTGAACTTGTCCCAGTCTGAAAATGTCTCAATGAGGTAACCTTTACGTTCATATAGATCGGAGCTATGAAGGCCTCGTGAAGGTTTTTGCTGATCCTGAAGTTGTATCCACTTCTGGCTGCTGCACCAAATAAACACCTGGACTGGGTTGCACCAGTTTTGCTAAGTTTATACTTAAGTTTGGGTGTAAAGTCTTTACTAAGTCCTTAGTTAACATGTTAGTTTCAAACTATCCTTTTATTAAATTTGGTTGCACCACAAATCTGTAAGTCATGTCCTAACTAGTAAAAACTAACTAATGCATATATGGCTTTTACTTCATGATAACATGTTCAGAACCGATCAGTAAACCCGCTGCCATGGATATGCGACAGCAGCTGCTTTGACTTTTTCAATGGGAAAAAATATCCAGCATAGAAGAGAAGGATGTGCACAACTTAAACTAATAAAATTAATTATTCTTTAATATTTGTTTTACTGTTTATTTTTTAATATTTACCTTAGACAACCAAATATGTAGCTTTTTAAACGACAGTTTCTGACTAAGCAACACAACAGCAAATCAGTTTAGAGTTTGAGCAGCTGCTGAGTCTCACTGAGCTGGAGCTGTGGGTGTTTAGCTTCACGCTCTGAGTTAAAAACAGAGTGAGGATTAGAGCTGGAAGTAAAACCACAGCGTGTAGCATTTAGAATTTTTTTAGCTTAGTTAACCAAAAAAGTCATATTGTTGGTCTTTGATCTACATGGTTTCTGATGGTTTCTCTAAAACGTATACCTCTTGAGGAGGAGGTGTAAACATTTAGTAACTATTAAGCTTAACGTTAAAACTAATTTGTGTGATGCAACTTGTTCTTTAGTGATTTAGTAATGCATAAACATGAGCTAAGTAAACACTTATGTTACAACTTGCCTAGGTTTGAACTTATGCGCAGCTGGTGCAACTGGCTTCTGATACATATAACTTCTGATACATATAACTTGAAGATCAGCAAATGTGAGATGTTTGAGATTTTATTCCGATCTACGTGAACACAGGTAATGTCTTAGCCTGGGTGTCGAGCTGTCCATGCAGTTGACTGCAACTTTGAATCGAGTGTGCCACAGTCAGGCTTAACAAATCCGGACTAACTCAACTAGAGTTCTAGAGTTTTGACCCATCCTGTGCAGTGAGATGAGAATTCTAGAACTCAAGTCTGGATTTGTCGAGTCCAGATGTGGATCACGTAGACAGAGGCAGCCAGGCTATGAACGTCTCATGAAAGAGTCTGAAGATGTCTGTTTTTGCGTGATGACAGTAAAGCTGCGGCCTCTCCTCCTCAGCTTTACTGTTTTGAAGCTCAATCAATATTGCAAATCCCCTGTTGATTCCTGAATGATTCTAAAGTGGTTGATGATTTTTTTAAAATGGAATATTCCACCGCTTTTCTATACCACGGTCACCATGGTCACCAGTTATACAGATTATCAAGTTATACAAAACCTGAGCTTTGTTTTAGGTTTAGAGGCAAAAGGAAAGCTAAAAAGGAGTCTAATCCTAACCAGTCAGCTCATTGTAATGTGACTACAAAGTGTTTAACCTTTTAAATGCCCAAGGACCCACAGAGCAAGTCCAGGGATCTCTTCTGCACTCTTAAAACTGAGGGTATAATGTCTGTTATAGGAATAGAAGCAAGAAAGATAAACTGTTTCTGATCTTGACCCAATAAATAGGGTGCACTAATCATGGGTTTTTACTGTTGATTCTAGCTCCCATTCTGAATTTTTCTGAAAGTAATAGGCACCAAAAGCAGTAATGCTTTTAACCTAAAGCTCACACATTATTTACATCATAAAATTGCAACACAAATCAGACTAAATAAAAACAAATTAATGTTTAGTTACATGCTGTTTGTAAGTTAAGAAGGAACATTGGCCAGTTCTCACATTGAGTGTGTTTACATGCACCCAATAATCCTATCATAATCGGATTTCTGCAGTTATCCGATTATTCAAATTGTCATGTAAACACCATACTCTGATCTAGAAGTCCGATTAAGAAATCTGATGAAGAGAGATGGATTTTAGCTCAGTAATCAGATTTCTCAGTGCATGTAAACTCTTACTCTGATTTCTTTCGGATTTCTCAGTCTGCGCGTGTTCAAACAGACGGCGGTACCAGAAAAAAGCACACTGAAACAAAACACAAAATAAACAATTGAAATATTCTTCATCTTCAAGATGATGTATGTTCATATGCAATGTTTAAAAAAAGCCGCAGCTTTACATTACGTTTACGTCACGTCTTCTTTTGTTAGTTTATTGGCTGATTGCAAAGCAGAAATCCGATTACTGTCTAACTCATGGAAACCTGGAGTTTCCCCATTATCTGATTACTCAAGGGCGTATAAACGTGTTGATCGAATTACTGACAAAATCTTCATTTTCTGCAGTTATCGGATTATGAAGTGCATGTAAACGCACTCATTGACAACTACCATTCAGAGCACACACGGGACCAATGTTCTCAAATTGCTGGAAGGCTCATGATCAGGTTGGAGTTGGATCTTTTAATAAATGTCTGGCCTGGGTTTAAAGGCCACTTTGACATTACAAATCTGGACGTGATCATAGTGGCCGTGGTGTGGTGGAGAGGTGGAGCATTCCTCACATGCAGTGGAAAGCCTTCCTCACTGCTGATGGTGTTTGCTGCTGACTTACGTCTGTCACTACTGTCAAACTTCTGCACATACAACTCCACACACACTTCATCTGTAAGCACACACACAAGCAGCAGCTGACGCAGTGTGTTCAGGTGAATGAGAGATAATGTAGGTGATACTGTAATTTCTTAGATAGTTGATAATAGCATGAACACAGGTGATTATAGAGCCAAGTGAGCATCAGGTGGGTGTCACATGGCTTTGTTATGGTAAATGCACTTAAACACACACACACACCTCTTTTAACAGCTGTCTGAGTGGCAGAGCTGTCTCTCTGGAGTCCTCATTTGTTCACGTGTTGTGTACGTCCCTATAGGTGTTTGTATCGTGTTTATGTGGCTGTGTATACGTTTTGACTTTATATGTGTGTTGTTCGTTGGGTATAAACAGTATATATGTTAGTCTGTGTCCCTATGTAGATGTGTATGTATGTGAGCATGACTCTTTGTGTTGGTGAATGTAGTATGTGTATGTGTTCTGTGTATGTCTTTGTCGCTTTGTGTCAGTGTTCCTACATGTTTCTCCTCTATATACATGTCTGTCTATGGTGATTTGTAGCACTGTTGGTTTCACAAGGACTTAAATGACTCCTGATTGGCTTAGCAATGTTGTATAGCTATATATATATATATATATATATATATATATATATATATATATATATATATATATATATATATGTACACACACACCGATCAGGCGTAACATTATGACCACCTCCTTGTTTCTGCGCTCATTGTCCATTTTATCAACTCCACTTACTATATAGGTGCACTTTGTAGTTCTACAGTTACAGACTGTAGTCCATCTGTTTCTCTGCATACTTTGTTAGCCCCCTTTTACCCTGTTCTTCAGTGGTCAGGACCCCATGGACCCTCACAGAGCAGGTACTATTTGGGTGGTGGATCATTCTCAGCACTGCAGTAACACTGACGTGGTGGTGGTGTGTTAGTGTGTGTTGTGCTGGTCTGAGTGGATCAGACACAGCAGTGCTGCTGGAGTTTTTAAACACCTCAGTGTCACTGCTGGACTGAGAATCGTCCACCAACCAAAAATATCCAGCCAACCGCGTCCTGTGGGCAGCACCCTGTGACCACTGATGAAGGACTAGAGGATGACCAACACAAACTGTGCAGCAGCAGATGAGCTATCGTCTCTGACTTTACATCTACAAGGTGGACTGACAAGGTAGGAGTGTCTAATAGAGTGGACAGTGAGTGGACACAGTGTTTAAAAACTCTAGCAGCACTGCTGTGTCTGATCCACTCAAACCAGCACAACGCACACTAACACACCACCACCACGTCAGTGTTACTGCAGTGCGGAGAATGATCCACCACCCGAATAGTACCTGCTCTGTGAGGGTCCATGGGGGTCCTGACCACTGAAGAACAGGGTAAAAGGGGGCTAACAAAGTATGCAGAGAAACAGATGGACTACAGTCTGTAACTGTAGAACTACAAAGTGCACCTATATAGTAAGTGGAGCTGATAAAATGGACAATGAGCGTAGAAACAAGGAGGTGGTCATAATGTTATCGGTGTGTCTATATATCAGGGTTCCTGCTGATTCTTGAAATGTCTGAAAATTAAAACACATTGAACTTCATTGTAGAAGTTGTGCAGCAACCCTGATATACGCATGTATAATTCATT